ACCTAGATTTCTACCTTAACCTTTCCAGTCTTCTCACACCTTACTCCCCACCACATACTCTTTGATGCAATGACACTTGGTGTCTTTGCTGTTCCATGAACTAGGCTCCAGGCATTTTCTCTACCTGTTCCCCATACCTGGAATGCTCTCCTTACTCATCTTTGTCTACTGGCTTCCCTGACTTCCTTCAAGTCCCAACTAAAATCTCATCTTCCACAAGAAGCCTTTCCCAATCCCCCTTAGGGGAGAAAGCCTCTTAATTCTAGTGTTTTCTCTTTGTTAATTATTTCCTATTTTTCCCGCATATTGTACACAGTTGTTTTCTTGTTGTCTCCTCCATTAAATTTTGAACTTCTTTAGGGCAGGGACTGTCTTTTGTCTTGTTTTGCAACCTAAGCACTTAGCACAGTACCTGGTGCTTAATAGACACTTAATAAATGTTATTGATTAACTGAGGATGCTTCTTTCTGGCATTATCTCTCTGTAACCGGGTCTATCCAAAAGTGTGTATCTCTATTCCCAACTGAATGTACTCTTTTCTACTGGACCAGTAGATGTGATGACATGATTAACTGGAGAAAGGGGGAAAGGTAATGAAATCTACCCTTCCCCCACCTAAGTCTCACCCTACAAACAACTCCTGAGCCTAGACTTCACAATACCAGAATGAATTGCTTCTTTTATATATAGTCCCAAGGGATGATCAATCCTGTCAATGATCCTCTCAACCAATAAAACTGGTGTTTCATTTCATAAAAATAGTGTCAGTTGCCTTCTAATGACCAAGTACCAAAAATTCTCTCAAATTGATTAAGAAACAATCACAAATTGTTTTGGGAGGCAGCTAGGTGGTGCAGTGGATAGAACTTTGACCTTGGAGTCAGGACCTGAGTTCAGATCCAGCCTCAGATACTTGACACTCACTAGCTGTGTGACCCTGAGCAAGTCACTTAACCCCAATTGCCTCACCAAAAATAAAAAAATAAAAAAAGACATATTAACAAATTGTTTTGGAGTTGTAGAAAAACTCCTTAATACCTCCTTTGTACTTTGTGATTATATTCTAGGCTTTCAGGGATCATATCAGCTGAGGTAAGGAGAGAAACACCCCCCCTTACAAAAGAGGAAAATGAAATGGAGGGTGGAGGGAACTGAATCACTTAAATTGGTTAGTGGTTAAAAAAAATCATATTCCTTTAAAGATGTTTCAATACTGCAATACATCTAGGATGTCATCAATGTTACTTTCCTTCCGATAATGCAGATGCAACCCATTCATATCTTCCTATCCTTTGTATCTCTTTTGTAGAACTTCCCGTAAATCTACTACAAGTAATCCCCCCCAGTGACCTTCTCCTCATTTCCTTGACACTTCAGAGTCTTTGCATTGGCCATTCCCTATGACTGGAAGATACTCTTCTCAGATATTCTTAGTAGAATTCCATTCATTTTTCAAGATTCAACTCAAGCACTGCATTTATCATGAAGCCTTTCTTGATCTTCTCATCTGCTAATGTCCTCTCTCCTTATCATGTATTTAAGTTCATTGTATTTAGTCTATTTATATTTATTCTGTACATATTAATATATGTACTCATATCCCTTGTTAGAATGTAAACTTCTTAAGGACAGAGATGGTTTCATTCTTTTTATTTCAATCCCTAGTGCTGGGTAAATAGCAAGTGCTTCATAAATAAGTGATTGATACCAATGGAGAACATCCAAAAAGATGTCCTTAAGTTATTCCTTACTCCTGTTATAGGACCAAATCATTTTGTGAGGGGAAGGTAATGGAAAGGTTGGTGTTTTAGTGATATCAGTTTGGCAACTCTGTGCAAGAGAACTCAAAATTAAATTCATGAAGGCATATCATTTCCAAGCTTCTAAATTATAAGGACAAAGACATAATGCTATGAGCAGCCAAGAAAAAAGTATCATCATTAAGTCATATTTAACAAAGCTTCTATAAAAATAAGAAATGGCACAAGCTTGAATAGGCTATGTCCAAAGTTAAGAAATAGGACTTGATGTTCAAATTGTTTTCAGCAGAACTGTACGTGCTTTTCAATGACAGAAGAGGGACATTTAAAATCAGGATGACAGCACAATTCCTGCTAAGAAGAAAAGCTCAATCTCAGAGAAACTTTTAGAAGGCTTTCAAAAAATCAGCAATTGGTCTAAGGAGAGGAACAAAGAGTTCTCAAACGAATTACAAACTACTAAGCAATCATTGATGGGTTATTCTAAATCACTAATAATAAGAATAATGAAAATCAAACATCTCTAGGGCTTCACTTAATGCCCAGTAAACTGGCAAAGATAATGAAAGACAAACCAATGTTGGAGGAGCTATGTGAAGGCAGGCAAACTATTGGTGAACTGTTTGTAACTGGCCTAACCATTCTGGAAAACAAATTGGACTTATGTGAGAAAAGTGAATTAATTCTTTATAACTTTCTACCCAAAGATCCTACTCTTGGAAATAAAAATCTTGAAGTAGTAAGCCCAACTCGAGCTATTCCCTTGATAGTTTAGTTTGATTCTGTAACAAAATGAGACACTCACAGGTTATTGATCAGATTTATTTAGCAATAGCAGAATAAGAATATTCAGTGAGAATAGAAATTGAGAATCCTTTGGGTTGATTGAGCTGGATGAACTTCTCATCATCATCCACTGGCCAAGCATCTTAGCTCTTCTGACTCCTTGTGGCTGCTTCATACCGAGGTATGGAGGAAGTGTTATCAACAGTCTGAGTTCTTAGTCCCCTGAGCCAACCAAGTCTCAGGGAATGTCTCAGGACCTTTTAGGCTACCTCAATATAACCTGTATGAAGATAAGGTTTAAGCTAATGCTCCTACCAGAGAAGACAAGGTCTCAAATATAGCAAGCAATAGGTATTACCACTTTTGTGACAGCAAAATATTAGAGTGATTTGGGAATATCTGAAAAAAATATTGAATGTGCATAGGATATAATTATTATTGTAATAAAAAGACTAAACAAATAATTCTGAGAAATATAAAAAGACATGAACTAAGGCAGAACAAAGTAAGCAGAATCAGGGAACCAAGATGTACTATGATTACAATGCAAATTAAAGGAAGAAATGAGGAAATATAGCCTCCTCTCTCCCTTTAAATGAACAGGTATGGAATATCACCCATGCTTTCAGATACAGCTGGTTCATTTTGCTTAACTGTTTTTTTCTTTGTTTCAAAGGAAGTCTAAGGGAGAGAGGAGCCTGACAGGAAGAGGATGTAACCAGAAATTACTCTAATGTGAAAAAGAAAAAGGTATCAATAAAAAAGTTTTTTTAAAGGACTCCTCCTACTTAAAAAAAACATAAATGTGATTGGGTTTTATATAGAATTTAAGATAAAAATACATTAATTATACATACATGCACATGCACACACACACACACACACACACACACACACACAAAACCTCCTATGAAATTTCTGTAAAGGTAAACCTTTCAGAAGACTAATTAAATAGTGCTAAAAAAATTCTCTTTTATACAAGTTTTAAAGTAATTATAGTTAAGAATTACTGCAGTTTGTTGCAATTTATTTATCAACAACAAGAGAATAGAGTTGTGTATGTGTATAAATCCATTTCATATTCTTTTAATCCCATTCAATCCACTACCCCCATTTACTTTTTCTGTTTCTATGTTGAAGATAAGAAAGAAAGAAATAGAAAGAGCCAAATCTTCCAACAAATTTGCCTCAAATCCTATGAAAAGGGTAAGGATATGCATACATCAGGACAAAAAAAAAACAATTGGGAACATATTACCTTGTGACACTTATTCAGCTTCTCCAATGTGCATGAATTTCTTCAAAACTATGGATAAAGGGGCTCCTTTGATCCACATTAAGAGAAAAGTAATAAAGAAACAACTTTATGAGAAAATTCTTAATGAGGCCCTGTTAGGTCCACCAAGCTGTTAGTACCTTCCCCTTGAAGGGGAAGTTAAGGTGAGTTAAATGGTGCAGTGGACAGAATGCCTGGCCTGGAGACAGGAAGACTTATCTTCCTGAGTTCAAATCTGACCTCAGACACTTCCTAGCTGTGTGACCCTGGGCAAGTCACTTAACCCTGTTTGCCTCAGTTTCCTCATCTGTAAAATTAACTGGAGAAGGAAATGTCAAACCATTTCAGTATCTTTGCCAAGAAAACCCCAAATGGGATCACAAAGAGGAGGACACCACTGAACAACTTTCAGGTTACCTTGCACCTGCCTTATAAGTGCTTTGAATGTATCTGTATATGTAAATTTTGTCTCCTTCTTCATGTAAACTCCTTGAGGACAGGCACTATCTTGCTTTGTCTTTGTATCTTCAATGTTTGAAAAAAAGACTGGCACAAAGGAATTGATTAATAAAATACTTGTTTGAAGGATTGACATTGATTCAAATGTGTTTGTAATCATTTAAAAAACTGAAAGGTACCTTCTTTCATTATGATAAAATACATAATACTCTGACCTTTCAACACTTTAGGCTCCCTGACATGAAGAGAGTCTATGTTTGATTAAATAAGATAAATTGGAAGCAAGTTTACTGCACTGAAGAGGAATAATTATACTTTTTGGGTTTTTTTGGCATTCAAGGGGCTTCAACAACCTCCATCTGTCTAAATCAAGCACTTTTGGGTTGTGTTTTCCTGACCAATTTGCATAATGTGTTTTATCAGTGGTATGTAAACAGTTTGTCCCCAGTGGAATATAAACTCCTTAGGGGCAGGGAATGGAATGATTCTTTATTTCCCCTCTAAGATTAATTTCCTTTTACTCTGTATATATTTTGTATGTATCTGTTTACATAAATTTGTCTCCTCATTAGGATGTAAGCTCCTTGAGATTAGGGACTGTTTTGATATCCCAGAACTTAGCATAGTAACTGGTATGTAACAAGTATTTAATAAATCCTTATTTGATTGATTAATTTGTATGGTCTGTTGTGAAGCGAAAATAAAGAGTCCTTGAAGCATATTCTGGAAAATGAAATATTTGTGATATATCTGTGGCTGGGATGATGGGTGGCACAGCAGGGAGAAAGAATGGGCAAGAGAGGTAGAACATAGCTTTACATCTGAAAGGCTACCCAAATTAAACAGATACAGAAAAGGCTGGGAGAGGTCTCAGGCTAAACACCGAGCAAGTCAATGGCACCTATTTGCTCTTTGCACCACATGGCTTTGTGCCGATAACTGAAATGCTGAGGCCTTGGCATCTGAGGACACCAGCCTTACATTCAGTCATGGTCTCTTCACTCCCATTCACTTCCACACAAATGTTGAGTCCTTCTTCGACACAATTTGCTGCTGATTCTTGGCATACACATTTATTTATCTGAGCTGGAAAACAGAAGAAAGAGGTTAATCAAAATTGGAAACATTTGTCTCTCTAAAAGGCACAGATTTGGTGATTTAGAGATTTGTTCCTGGACCAAACACCAGAGAATTAATGTTCCTTTACTCTACCAAGACTAAATGTGCAGTGGGGCTAATGCCAGTCCTTTTATTAGTTGGAATCCTATGCTGATATTCCTCCCAGTTCTTTACATTCACATTCAACTAGTGATACAAGGGAGAACCAGAACACTAAATAGACCCACTTCCACCATCACATCTAGTCTATGACAGAGGTTCCCATAAAACTGAAATTATAAAGGTCCATAGGGAAATGAGAAAGAAGTCAACACATTTGGGGAAATGGACTACATCTCCCATACTGGTCCCAAACCAGGGACCGGTGTCTTCCCCTTGAAAGCCAATGGACCAAGTCTCCCTGAAGAGGGTATTAAGTAGGAGAGAGATAGATCCCATACCTCATACACAGAGCTCAGGAGGTAGACATACTAACACATTAGCTTCAATGACTTTGGGAGCACAGCATAATGGGAAACCATTGTCCCTATCATGGAAGCAGCCATGGAATTTTCCAAACCAGAGTAAAACACATATGACTGAAGTTCAGCATGTCAACCTTGGGTTAAATTTTGACAGCAATACATAGAAGATAGTAGAGCCAGGCTGGACCAAAAGACAGGTCAAACTTAGAAAGGGCTGGGAAGGGTCCCCCAAATCCTTAGGAAGGTGCTTTGTACCTCTATTGTAAAAACTTAGAAAACTCTAGGATTTTAAATTATGTTCATACTAATATCATCAATTCCAAGCATTTATTCCCCGTATCCAATCAGTTGCCAAACCTTTGTAATATTTCTTGTATATACCCCTCCTCTCTCCTCTGACACTACCAACACCATGGTACAGGCCTTCATCACCTCATACCTGGACTACTGCAATAGCCTTCTGGTTGGTCTCCCTATTTCCTGCCCGCACTGCAACCCGTCCTCCACTCAGATGTCAAATTGATCTTCCAAAAGCACAATTTTGACCCTATTTAATCAATTCTAGTGGCTCTCTATTGCCTCAGGATCAAATATAAAACCTCTATTAGGCTTTTAAAGCCCTCTCAAACTAAGCTCCTTCTTACTTTTCCACTATCCTACCTGCTTATACTCCTGCCACACAGACCACTGCCATGTACTCTATGGTCCAGTGACACTGGCCTCTCTGCTTTGCCTCAGTCAAGACACTCCATCTCCCAACTTCAGGCGTTTTCACTGCCTGTGCTTCATGTCTGGAATTCTCTCCCTCCTTATCTTCTATCTCCTGGCTTCACTGGCTCCCTTCAAGTCTCAGCTAAAATCTCACTTTCTAGAAGAAGTCTTTCTTGGGATCTTTTAATACTAATGCCTTTCTTCCACTGATAATCTACAATTTATTCTGTATAACATATATGTGATATATGGATATAGAGAGAGATACCATAATTGTTTGCACATTGTCTCCCCATCAGACTGTTAGCTCCTTGAAATCAAGGACTGTCTTTTGCTTTCCCTTGCATCCTCATTGCTTAGCAGTTTCTGGAACATAGTAGGCATTATTATTATTATTATTATTATTATTACTAAATGTTTGTTGACTGATTTATTAAGTACCTACTATGTGCTAGGCACAATATGAGGCTCAAGGGATACAATGACCACCCAAAAAAGCCCCCACAAACAAAAGTTATCATTACTAGTAATTATTCTTACAACATGGGTAGCATGTCTCTTACCATCGCATTTTTCCCACACAGAACATGTACCACATGTTCTCTCAGCTAGAGTAGGTAGAGTGCAGCTCCCGCTATCAGTAAGGGCATAACTCCTCCCCATACACTCAAGTACACGGAGTTTGCAAACTGTCAGAGCTACAACCCTTTTTGTTCTCCCATCTTGAGCACAGATATCCAAAGAAGGTCTGAAAAAAACAGAATGAATTATACCATTTCCATATATCAACAAGCATTTATTAAGTACTGTGCCAAGCATATTCCAGGCACTGTGCTAAACTCAAGAGCTAATAATTCAAAGAAGGAACTCTTTCTAACAAACGGAAGAGGGGAAAGAGTATTTATTAAGGGCTTGTTATGGGCTAGGCCTGCACTTTGTGCTAAGTGCTTGAGATATAAATACAAACTAAAAAGAGGATCTCTACCCTCAGGAAACTTACATTCTACTGGAAGAAGGCAACAATTAAAAAGGAACTGGAAAAGGAATGAGAAAGGAGCAAGATTGCTGGGGAGGAGGTAGAAAAGTCTGGAGGGTGAAGAGTCCAACAGAGAGCAAAATGAACGTGGACTGAACGCCTCATGAAATGGTGGTCCAAGGCAGGGACTCACCAATCAGAAAGGGAGGGCCACAGAGCAGGGGCACCTCCAGAGCACCTGTTCTTCACCTCAGATGAGTGGTTAAGTACCTGGCCACACAAAGGTACTTGATCAAAGAGCTAATGAGTGTCAGAAGCAGGATTTGAACAAAGTCCTTCCTGACTCAGAAGCCAGCTCTCTATCCCCCATACCACGCTAAATAAAAATTATGGAATTTCACTCCATAAAAGTCTCTGAGCCTAGTCTAAACCAAATCTGATGTCTTAGAGTAAACCGTTACTTGGAAAATGTTGTACTTCGCAACACAGACGGCAGAACAAGCAGAATCCCTATCAAATAGGCCTGAACAACTTTAAAATCTGAGATTTTAGGATTCTCATAGGTTTACAGACTATATATGCCTTGACAGCCCTAGTGTTTCATTGGTTAAATGGGTATAATTCACAATCAAACAGAATAGGGGGAAATCTTTAGAGAATTCAACTAAGCAAACATGAAAGGATTTTCTCCAAAATGAATACAAATACTTCCCAGCTCCCAAAGATGACCCAAATAGCTTCCACAAAACTGGACACTCTAGACTCATAATACAGTGTGTTGCCATTTTTCTTTTCCCACATTTGTGTCACTCCCATCTCAGAGGCTTTCCAATGATGCAAGGATGTTATAATGCTAAATAACAGTTGTTTTTAGCATTGACAACAATTATAAAGATACTGAAATATCAGCTTAAGCAGGAGCAGCCAGGTGGCACAGTGGATAGAGCGCTAGCCCTGAAGTCAGGAGGACCTGAGTTCAAATCCGGCCTCAGACCAAACACTTGACACTTACTAGCTGTGTGACCCTGGGCAAGTCACTTAACCCCAATTGCAAAAAAAAAAAAAAATTAACCTGGCAATCAAAGGCCATATAAAAAATATGCAATTCACATTAAAATACTTCTGAGGTTTCACCTCATTTCTCAGATTGACAAAGTTAATAAAAAAGGAAAATGACAAGTGTTGGAGGGATTGTGTGAAAACAGGTACATCAATGTACTGTTTTTGGTGGAAGAGTGAATTGGTCCAGTCATTCTGGAAGACAATTTGGAACTATGCCCCCAAAAGTTATTAAGCTTGTATACCCTTTGACGGAGCAATAGCATTGCCAAGTCTGTACCCCAAAAGGGATTTTTCAGGGGAGAGGAGAGGATCCATATGTACAAAATTATTCATAGCAGTTCTTTTTGTGTTGATAAAGAATTGAAAACTGAGGGTTTTCACATCAATAGGGAAATAGCTGAACAAGTTATGGTATAAAGCTATAATAGAACACTAGCATGCTGTAAGAAATGATGAACATGATAATTTCAGAGAAACCTGGGAAGACTTGTACGAACTGATGCAGAGAGAAGTGAGTAGAACAAAGAGAATAATTTACAAAATAGCAACATTATTGTAAAAACAAACAACTTTGAAAGACTTAAGAAATATGATTAAAGCAATGACCTACCACAATTCCAGAGGACTTGAAGTGAAACATGCTATCCATTTTCAGATAGAGAAGTGATAGACTCAGTGTGCAAATTAAGACATTACATATATACATAAATATGAATATAGCCACACTCAGATATATAAATACACATCTATATAGTTATATCCATATATGTATATGTATCTATGTATTCATACCTATATCTATCTATATCTATATCTATATCTATTTGGACATAGCCAATGCCAGAATTTATTTTGCTTGACTATTCATATTTCTTACAAAGGCCTTTTTCCCCTTTTTTCAATGGGGGACAGAAAGGATGCGGGAGAAAGAGAAAGTAGATTTTGGTTAATTAGGGGGAAATTTTAATTAAAAAAAAGAGAGAGAGACAACCAGTCTGAAGGTTTTCCTTCCACTGTTAGCTACTCTCCCTCAAGATTAGCTTGCACGAAAATTGTGACATATAGAAACGGAAGAAATAAATTGACACATATTGGTTTTTGTGTTCTTTCAAATGGCTCAGCCATATCAGAGAAGTCAGTGGTTTCTAAACTAAAGATTTTCTAAGCACAGATACTGCTCAGTTATACAGAGGTGACATCCAAATACCTCAACTCTCCAGAATATGGCTGAGAATCAGGAAGGAAGCAAAAAAGACTGACTGTTAAAACAAGTGCCACAAGGACCATGGGCTTGAGGATCCCCTCAGGCTCTCACTCTGAACACTCATTCATACTTTCTACAGAGTATTTTTTTTTAAGTGTGGTTAATTAATTTTTTAAAGTGTGGTTAATCCCTGTACACAAAGAGTTAGAAGCAAAATGGGGGGAGGGAGGAACACTGGGGTTACAGAAGCAGCTCCTAGAGGCAGGAACTGGAGCAGCAAATAATCACAAAAAAATAACAGCTTGCATGGCCTGACAACAAACAGGTGGAGACAAAGCTTCTTTAGTGTAGGGGCAAGCATCCCTGGTTACCTCTCTAGTAACACTCTATTACATTGTAGCATAGTAATGGAGAGTAATAAGGATGGCCGTTAAGTCAACACGAAAAGATCAAAGTGCAGGATTTGCCATTATGGAAATGGGGGAAGTATGCAATATTGTTTAGAAGTATTTACATTCAAAACAACTACTCCAAAATAGCTTGGATACTTAAAGGGTCATCTGGAAAATTCATTTATGTGGAGTATCTTACTCCCTGACAAAGCTGGATAAATAAGGTATTTCAGACAGGGTCATAAAAATACTCAGTTTATTCATGAAACTGCAGTTTCTAAAGCACTTTTCACACCCAAGGATATGGGAAGAGACTAAATTCATGGTTTGTATGTGTTTTAATTCAGCTCAAATACTTTCTTTTTCACCTGGAAGCAAAATTCACTTGAAGTTCTCTGAATGATGGAAACAAGTCTCAGTATCTAACCTTTAATCTGTTTATTAAACATATTAAATAGAGCTACTCAGCTCTACTGAAAAGGCCAGGATTTTGCAAAGCTGCTTTGTTATCAACATCTGAGTGTTATGTTGAAATTATATGAAAACTCACATCGGGTCTATAAATAAAAGGCTGCAGATAATCTAAATGAATTGGGAAGGGGGAGAGGCAGTAAGGAGCAAAATCAAAGCAAACCATGATTAATGTTGAATAAAGCTGGAATTGATATATTTTTTGGAATACATTAAAGATTGCCGTACTACTTATAATAAACTATATTCTCCTCAGTATGTAATAGCCAGTGTGGCATTTTGGACCAAAAATTTGGACAAAAATTCAAATCCTGCCTCTGAAACATATTGGCTATGTGACCCCTGAGCAAGCCACCTAAAAATAATAGATATTGAATATAATTAAAATTTTGGGGGGGTGAGACAACTGGGGTTAAGTGACTTGCCCAGGGTCACTCAACTAGTATGTCAAGTATCTGAGGCTGAATTTAAACTCATGCCCTCCTGACTCCGTAACTGGTGCTCTATCCACTGCACCAACTAGCTGCCCCCATAACTAACATTTATATAGCACTTTACCTATATTATATCATTTGATTCTCCCCACAACCCTGTGAAATAGGTGCCTTATTTTGCAGATGAGGAAACTGAAGGTGAGAAAAATAATGTCTTCTTCAGGGTCACACAGAAAATAAGCATTTATGACAGGGTTCAAACTCAAATCTTCTTGGCTCCAAGTCCAGTGCACTGTCCATTGAGCCACCTAGCTGCCTCCAGTACTCTAGGAAACTCCAGTTGCAGAGAAGGTATTGACCCAAATTGGTAAGAAGGAGTTTCCTTGCTGAGGAATTCCTTATGCCAATGAAATCACAGAGCCAGTCCCCATCCCTGGGATCTTCCAAGACACAAAACCCTCTGTATATGACATCACCGAATCAACTCTGTGAAGTTGGCTTTTTTTTCCATTGTTGGGGTGGTCAATTCATATGCCAAGCAGGCAAACAATAATGGAATGACTAGTCCAATTTTAAGAGACCAAAGGAACTACCAAGTCCAGTTGTTTCAATCACTCAGTATTACAGGATTTAAAGCAGCCTGAAGGAAGAAGATAGAGGCTATCTAATCAAACACCTTAGTTAATAAATGAGGAAATTCAGGCTCAGAGAATTTAAATGATTTAACCAAGGTCAGACAGATAATAATTAGCAGAACCAGGACACATCTTGAATGGGTAAAACTAGAGAGATACCAGGGAATTCACCCATGACTTTCCCACAGGGTCCACTCTCCAGGTTATATCCTATATATACCATCTATTGTATACAGAGAGATTCTGCACCTGGTAAAATAGGGTACAAAATGTTAAGAGGAAGGGAGAGGAAAGAAAAGATTCTCTTCCCTCAGTAATTATGACCCATCTAGCCACACCACTGCTAGCTAGGTTTATTTTTTTCCCCAATCAGAATAATTTTTCTCAGATAACAATAAATTATATCCCCTGTCAGTTTTGTATGTTTCTGAATCCCCAGGACATTGGAGAGTTTGAATGCAAGAGGCAAGTCAGCACTACGAGGCACTCTCGTGTGGGTGAATTTGCTATAAGAAAACCTAGATTTGATTGCCAATCCTGACACATACTTGCTACTAGATTGGGCAAATCCCTCTCTCTGCCTGAGCCTTACTTTCTTCATTCACAAATCAAGGTTTAAAAATTGTTGCACTAACCACCTAAAGAGTTAGAGGAAAGAGCTTTAACTTTACAAATCTCTATAAAAATATGAACTATTATTAAAAATGGCTCTCCCCTCTCCACACACCAGATCTTTCCAAAAAAAAGATGGAGATATTCATCAGTAGATAAAGAAAATGAGTCCTCCTTTTCCAAACCGTAAATTTTCCAAATAAAAGAAAAAAAAGAGAGGATGAGTATCAAGTAAAATTGTTTATTCATTACCTCCTGTCCATAAGGCCATCACATCATTACATATAGATTTAAAATGCATGCAATCTGACCTTATCTATTTAATTATTTATATTAAATACCCTCTTAGATAAGTTCTTATTATGTGTCAGGGCATTTTAGTGCCCTGATCAAATTCAGCCAGAGTGGGCAATGTTCTTTCAGGATCAGGGAAGTAAAGAATTTGCTAAAGAGATGTTGCGCTGACCAGAGAGCATGAATAGCTAGTCTACTTGGCAGGTAGAATCCTTAAGGAGATAAAGCTAGCTCACCAAACAAACCTAGCTAGAAGAAAATGTTCTTTAAGATGATTAGGTGACATTCACTGTGGTTCTATAATTGCTAAGCAACTTTGTGATCTTAATGCAGTTTCTCAAGTAGCTGTGTTCTAGTAGAAGAAACATGGGGTTTAGATTCAGAAGGTCTAAGTTCAAATTCTGACCAAATCACTTATAGACTGTGTGACCATGGGCAAGTCTCTTCATTTTGATCCTCGGTTCCTTCAACTATGAAACAAAAATACTTTGTTTCCACTACGTGTCTCACAGGTTTTTATAAAGATAATCAAATAGGGTGAAGGTATGCAAAGTGCTTTGTAAACCTTAAAGTGGTATAAAAATTCTAGCAGTCAATTGTTATTAAGTGGATTTCTTTCCTGGGAGGAAAATGCACTGCCCATTTAACATAAATGGACATAAATTAAACATAAATAAAACACCACTTTCTAATTCCATTTAGCACATATGTATTGAACACTACTATGTGCAACGCACTGTGCTAGACACCTCACAATTATATTTCTTCTTGTAAATTAATAAACTGACATTTTTACCAAAATGTCTCTTGTGAATTTGGTTAACATGAATCAGTTTCCAGAACCTGATCATCCCTGGAAGAACTGAAAAACTGGAGTATGTGAAGCTGATATAGTACTCACGTACCCTCACTTGAAGTCACCTGATTGGGTCACCTTTGCCCAAAAGTCTTCAATGGTGCCTCCTCTGCAAATAAAGTTCTTCTTCCTTAGCCTGGTCTCAGGCTCCACAATATGGCTCCAACCTACCCTTACAGCATTTTATCCTAACTTTAACATACATTATATTCTATCTGAACTGAACTACTGGCTGTTCAATAATTTTGTCCTGCTTTCTCCTGCCTTTGTGTCTTTGCTCCTATGGTGCTCCTTCTCCTAACTCAATGCCTTGCATAGATTCCCCAACATCTACGATCTTATCACCTGGTGAGATTCTTGTCACCCTTGAACACCCATCAAACATGCCTCCTCCTCCATGAAAACTTCCCTTTCAGAAATAAACTTTTTTTCAAGCAGCCAGGTGGCATGGTGGATAGAGTGTGGGAGCTGGGATGGAAAAGATCTGTCTTCAGTCCTGCCTTGAATCCTTCCTACCTATGTGACCCCAATCAAGTCACTTAGCCTCTTATATTCAGTTTCCTCATCTGTAAATTGGGAATAATAACCTCACAAAGGTCATTTTGAGTACCAAATGATATAATACATGCAAAGCACTTTGTAAACCTTAAAGAATTATGTAAATGCTAGTCATTCTTATTCCTCAGAAAGGCAGCATGAAATAATGGATAGAACACTGGACTTGAAGTTAGAAAGACCTGAGTTTCAATCCTGCCAGAGACATTTACTAGCTATGTGACTCTGGGCATGTCACCCAACCTCCTCCGCTTCAGTTTCCTCTTATGTTAAAATGAATATGATAATAGCAGCTACTTCACAGAGATATTATCCATGTAAAGCAATTTATAAGCACAATTGTAAATGTCATCTGTTATCTCACATGGCTCTTTGTACTTCTCCTATACAATTATTATAGTTTTGTTCATGTTATAGATATTTGTGAATTTTTCTCATTTCTACTACTAAATTACAAACTTTGTTATCTCACCACCACCACCATCAACACCACCCACTATCTTGTAAAGTAACTTGCAGATAGTAGGAATTTAATAAATATTTGTTAAATTGGATTTAATTATTTTTTTCACTATGTAAGCTATCTAACTCTTCAACTTTATACAAAACAAAGTTTAAGCTTTCTAGCTGGGTGGTATTTTATATTAAAAGAATGATCATAAAAACAAAATAGAAAAGCCTTTTATCAATTTTCTGTGACTACTGTTTTGAGAATATATATCCAAAGGGAATTTAATTATCCCTTAAACCTCTAAATCCTCAGATGATCACTTTGTCATGTTGCTCCATTTTCCCAAGTAAGGGACTGGCCAGTTACTTCTCAGTCAAACCCCCTTAACCTGATTTCATGAGGGCTAAATGCCTACTGACAGCTCTGGTGACCGAAGCAGCTCTGGACAGAGCACCAACTGTATGGCAGTGTAAACGAAAACTCGTAACTTAGACTCATGCAGGCAAAGCTATCTTATCTAACATAACTAAAGTCTTCTCAAAGTCATCTGACTTGAGTTAAGCAAAACCATTAGAGATGAGCAAAGGCACAGCTTACCCACATTCATAAGGCATTTTACAAACACATCTAGAGTTCTGCAGCTTCTCCCAGGGTTGGCATGGCTGTGTTGTTAATACTGGTTTCTCAGTGCCCTCTAAAGGAAAACAATATAGGACATATCGCTGAGTTAGGAAAGAAAAAACTCTTCAGTTGTGAATGAGGTTATCATTTTAAGGGCTAAAATTAGTTGATAAAAAGTTCTGAAATTGCAAGGGACTATACACTTGGAAGCTCATTTTAAAACTGCTCAAAATACTTTACCACTTGTAACTGAGGTCCAGCACATTCCCAGGATCCCCCAGAATCCCCCTGCCTCTTCCACACAGAAATTTGCATCCACTGAACATACTTATGTACAGTGCTCATGGGCCAGTTCCAGTTACACAGAGGAGTTAATCACCTAGCAGCTCTTATTAATAACTTTATTGTTCGGAAATACTATGGGTTGTTTAATTCTATTACACAATCTTACGTCCAGGGATACTACAAAAGACTCACCAGGGACATAACACACCTGGAAGCATTACAAGTGTCCCAAGACGACCTAGGTTCAAAACCTGTCCCTCTCATTTATTATGTGCATGACTTTGGGCAACTCATTTAATCTCTCTTTGCCTCAGTTTCCCCATTTATAAAATGAAAGATTTGTCCCCTCCATTTCTAATTCTATGATGTATAAGACTTAATTTCATTAGCAGTCAAACTAGTACCCTAATCCTCCTGAGTCTCAGTTTCCTCATTTGTAAAAGATGTTGAGATAATTGTGACCCTCAAGATCTAATAACAATACACTTCATTTGTTTTTGGTAACAATCAGGGTTAAATGACTTGCCTAGGGTCACATAGCTAGTAAGTGCCTGAGGACTGATTTGAACTCAGGTCCTCCTGACTCCAGGGCCAGTTGCTCTATCTACTGTACCACCTAGCTGCCTCAACAAAACTCTTTATATACCAGCAAGACCTTCCTGACCCAGAAGATGGGCTTAGAATAATTTTTTAAGTAGATGAAAAATATTAATAACATGGTCTTCCTCATTCCTCCTTGTGACCACAGCCTGGCAGCAGCAGAACAACCATAATATTGTCTTGTAGAGGGCCAAAGTACCTTAGTGAAGCCTAAATACCCTATGAATAACTTATAGTTGTGAACACCTGAATTTTCCAGGACTTTTACTACAAGATGATTTTTCATCATATTCAGTTGAATAAGCATTATTAAATGATTATTGTGTGGGAAAGGTAAATTTAGCAAGCAATCAAGCCAGCTCCTACTCTTATACTAAGCAATGAAGACAAAGACAAAAGCAGAACCATCCTGCCCTCAAGACTGTTACATTCTAATGGTGATTAAATACAAGGTTTAGATTTATTTCCTGCCTTCATGAAATTTGCAGACTAGTAAAGGCATAAAGACATATGTCCAGATAACCATAATACAAAAGAATAATAACCATAAACAAATTAGAAACATACAGAACAAGGTGTCATGAGAGAACTGAGGTGGGGGTGGGGAAGGTCAAGCTGAGCTTTAAAGGACATGGAGAAATTAATAGATAAAGGAAGAGGGAGGACAACACAGGCACAGGAAACAACGTGAGAAACAGCAGGAAAGCATAGGCTGTGTTGGGGGGAACAGTGAGTAATCCAGTTTGACTGGAATGTAGCTTACAATGCAGGGAGTTAAGACAGAAGACTAAAATGGTAACACGGCATTAGACTTCTGGGAACCTAAAATGCCAGGCAATTGTGAAGCCAGTAAAAGTTTCTGAGTAGGGAAATAACATGAAAATCTTTGAAGACAGATTATTCTGGCAGCATTATAAGGAACTGATCAGAGAGAGGAATGTGTAGACACAGAAAGCTCTCGTAGGAGGTGGTTGCAATGCTACAAGCCGATGGTAATGAGGTCCCATACTGGTAGTGGCATTGGAAGCATATAGAAGACAAGTGCAAGGGATATTTTGGAGGAAGAATTGACAGGATGTGGCAAGTGATTAGATACAAGAGCTGAAAGGGGGAATGAAGCCAGAAATAGCACCAAGATTTCTAACTGGTAAAGTTTGTCAGATGGCAGTACCGCTGACAGAAAGTCTCCAAGACCAGACTTAAGGAGAAAGATAATGACCTTGGCTTGGGGCATAATAAGTTTGAGGTGCTAGCAGTGTATGCAAAGGGATGTATTTTGTAGACAGAGATTTAGGCCTGGGGGTCCGAAGATAGGTCAGAGCTGGCTATAGAATCCATGGAGGTAATAGCTGAAACTGAAAGTGTTTCAAGTATCTTGGGAATCAATCTCTCATCCCTTTCAATATTACATCACTTCCAACATGTACTTCCTCTGTTCATCATCAATCCCTCATTGCCTTCAATATTATGTCACCTCCAACACGGGACTGCATTGTGCATTATCAACCCCTCATTGCTTTCAATATTACATCACCTCAACATGGATCTCCTCTGTGCATTATACACACCTGCTCTTCCCATCTTCTTAATGACCAAATTCCTTCTGGAGCACAATAGGAAGTAGAATTTTTAAGAGTTCAAATATCATTGTGAGGTGGTATAGTGGATAAATTTCTGGATTTAGAGTCATGAGAACCAGAGCTGAAATCTCAGACACTTACTTATTAGCTGTGTGTGACTCTGAGAAAGGTTTCCTCAACTGCACAATGGGGATATTAATAGTAGCTACTTCACAAAAACAAGGTTATGTGAGGATCAAATAAAAGTAGATAAAAGATGTAAGCACATGCAAACCTTAAAGGTCCTATAAATGTTACCTTTTTTTATTATTACCATAGATCCATTGTCACTGATAGAATAATTTGTTATAATTTGAGCACATATTTTCTATTTTTTCTGTTTGTTGTCCTTCCATTTTCATCCTTAGATGATCTTGCAATCATTTGTTGTTGGTGTTCAGCTGTTTTCAGTCGTGTCTGACTCTTCATGACCCCATTTGGGTTTTCTTCGCAAAGATACTGGAGTTGATGAGGTTGGGATCTGAGCCCCAGAAAGCCCTTGACTTTCCCACATGGCCAAATCTCTGGATTTCACCTGAGGCTATAATCCCATCAACTGGCCTTTCATTGCGGCTACACTCAATCCCCCAATTCTGTTACCTCCATTTTCTTGCCTCCCTGTGGCCCCAGGCCACTTCCCACCCTTGGTCCCACCTAGGCTCCATTTCCCTGGAATTCTATTACCTCATAGACTACTTGGCCACTCCTAGATATTACCTCATAGATTACTTGGCCACTCCTAGATCCCTCCCATAGTCTTTCTGTATATAAGGTCCATCTTGTCTCCATTAAGATGCTGAGATTCCTAAAATCTAGCCACTGCTGAGATTCTTATAATCTAGCCACTGCTTACTCATGTTCAGACTCCTCAAGAGTCTGCCCAATATGACGGATGTTCTAATTAACCTTGTCTTTGACTGAAACAAGGCTTGGGTCGAATTCTTTTGGGCAGGACCCATGTGTTGTGATTTTGAGGTCCCAGCACCCCTGAACCCCTAAACCACATCAGAGTGGTTTGCCTTTTCCTTCTCCAGCTCATTTTACAGATGAGGAAACTGAAGCAAAAAGGGTTAAGTGACTTGCCCAGGGTCACACAGCTAGTAAGTATCTGGGATGCTTTGATTTAAGTCTTTTACCAGACTTCTTTTTTTTACCTTTCTTTTTTACTTCTTACTTTTTAACTTTTTTACCTTTTACCTTTTACTTTTTTCTTTGACCTTTTCTTGATGTTTTATGAGATGATACTACTCAAAATCTTCTACTATCCTTCTCCATAAGATTTTACAAATGAATTAAAATTCTTAACCAATGTTGACCTTGATTACCATGTTTCTCTTCCAGGACAAACAAAGAAACAGAGGACAAGCATTTGCTGATTGAATCAGTCTCTAGGTTCTTCTTGCTTTCTAGATGCAGAAACTTTAAAAGACTATTTACAATCAGTGCTTCCACTTCCTCTCCTCTCACTTAGTCCTTTACTCTGTACAATCTTGCTTCTGACCACATTATTCAACTGAAATTGCTCTCTCCAAAGTTACTATAATGATGTTATAATTTCCCAACTTACAGGATTTCTTATCCTCATCCTTCATGACCTCTCTATAGTATCTGACAGCCTCTGACACTTTTCATCATTCTCTTCCCTGGAATGCTCTCTCCTTTCTAAGTTTTTTGTGACACTGCCCATGGGTATGCTAATACATATGTAACAATCAACTCTTAGGGGAAAAAATTTACATGACATGCCTTTCAATTTAATCTGAGAAAATTAATATTTTCCCCATCACTTTCTTAAGTCTAGACAGATAATCAATAAACCAAGGTCTGATTTATAGTTTGCCAATTCCAAGGTATAACTTTTCACACTAAAAATTTAACAGTTGTCCCTTGTGCGACAGTTCAAACTGGCTCCAACACATCCCAGCACTGCTCTCTCTTAGTATTCCTCACATCTGTCTGTTACCACTTCTTCTAAGTCTCCTTTACTAGTTTTTCATCCAAGTGACATCTACTAAATGTGAGTGTCCCCCAAGGTTCTATGTTGGGGATATTCTCTTGTCTTACTACACTATGTCACTTGGTGATCTCATCACTTCTCATAAGTTCAATTATCATCATCTATGCAGATGATTTTCAAATCTATTTATCCAGTCTTAACTTCTCCTGTCACATCACCAACTGATTATTGGCCATCTCAAAGTGGATGTCTGGTAGATACCTGAAACTCAATACATCCAAAGCACAACTCATCATTTCTATACCCAAACCTTCCCCTTTTCCTAATTTTCCTATTGATATTGAGGGCACCACCATCCTCCCAATTACTACCTAGATACCATCTTAAACTCCTCATTCTCACCACCCCTATTCAATCAGTTGTCAAATATTGTTAACTCTACCTTAGTAACATCTCTTGCATATATCCCCTTCTCCTCTGACACTGCCACCATTCTAGTACAGGTCCTCTTTACCTCATACCTGGACTATTGTGCTAGCCTTCTGGTCAATCTCCTGCCTTGAATCTCTTCCTACTCCAGTCCTCCAAACCATCACCCACTCATCTGCCAAAGTCATCTTTCTCATGTGAAGTTCTGACCATGCTACCCCCTCTCTCACTCAATAGACTCAAGTATCCCCCCCATTATAATTAAATATACTATACTATGTTTAGCTTTTAAAGTCTTTTACAACCTGGCCACTTCCTGCTACTCTTCTAGCCTTTGCACGCTTTATGACATAAGATGAGGCAGCACCAGCCTCCTTGCTGTTCCTCTCATGCCATATTCCATCTCCCATGCCTTTTCACTGACTGTCCCCCATGCCTTAAATGTTTTCCCTCCTTACCTCTGCTTCTTGGTTTTCCTGGTTTCTTTTCAGACTCAGCTCAAATCCAGCTTCTAGAATAGACCTTTCCCAGTCCCCTTCCTTCACCCCTGGTACCTTCCCTCTGAAATTAACTCCCATTTACAGTGTGTGTGTGTGTGTGTGTGTGTGTGTGTGTGTGTGTGTGTGTGTGTACATACAAATCACCCCAAAGGTCTTAGTGCAATTTTAGGCTTGTAACTGAACTAAGACTTTTAGGACACCTTCTATATTTACATATATATTATAAATGAGAGATAATAGAAGATAGATGATTGATATATAGACAAATAGATGATATATTAGACAGATAAATAGATACCAATTAATAGAGACAGACACAGAGAGAGATATAGAGATCATGACAGAGAGATCTTTTATGTGCATAGCTGTTTGCATGTTGTCTCCTCCCATCAAAGGTGAGCCCCTCGAATTCAAGGATTCTATATTCGCCTTTATTTTTATCCCCATTGTTATTTAGTCATGTCCAACTCTTTGTGACTCCATTTGGGGTGTTCTTGGCAAGAATATTGGAGTGGTTTTTCCCATTTCCTTCTCCAACTTATTTTACAAATGAGGAAATTGAGACAAACAGGGCTAAGTGACTTATCCAGGGTCACACAGCTATTAAGTGTCTGAGGCAGAATTTGAACTCAGGTCTTCCTGAGTCCAAGCCCAGTGCTCCATCCACTGTATCACCTAGTTGCCCTTTTTTTTATCTCCAACACTTAGCAAAGTATCTGGCACATAGTGTTTAATAAATGCTTGTTGACTGGCTAAGTTAAACTACCTTGACAAATAGTATAAAGTAGTGAAGAGAGGCTGGGCTTTGAATGCAGGAAGTCCTGAGTTCAAGTCTTGCCTGACTCTGACACATACTAGCTTGGGACTATAGGAAAGCTACTTAAGACTCAGTGGCCTAGGCAACTTGCCATCCTACAGATGAGTTGCTGATCTGCATCAACAGAGAACGTTTTCATACCAGAAGTTTCTTACATAGATGAAATTGCAGAGGTTCAGACCAACAACAACAACAAAACCCTTCCTTAAGAAATGGTCTTTGTACTGTACTAGAAATGCTAGCTTTAACAATAAGAGAAGAAAAAGAAATTAAAGGAATTAGAATAGGCAGTGAGGAAACAAAGCTATCACTCTTAGAGAATCCTAGAGAATCAACTAAAAGACTACTTCAAATAATTAACAACTTTAGCAAAGTTGCAGGACATAAAATAAAATAAATCAGCAGCATTTCTATATATTACTAACAAAGCCCAGCAGCAAGAAATAAAGAGAGAAATTCCATTTAAAATAACTGGAGAAAACATAAAATACTTGGGAATCTACCTGCCAAGACAAACCCAGGAATTACATGAACACAATTACAAAATACTTTTCACACAAATAAAGTCAGATCTAAATAATTGGAAAAATATCAGTTGCTCATGGGTAGGCCAAACTAATATAATAAAAATGACAGTTCTACCTAAATTAATATACTTATTCAGTGTCATACCAATCAAACTACCCAAAAACTATTTTATAGAGTTAGAAAAAATAATAAAATTCATCTGGAAGAACAAAAGGTCAAGAATATCAAGGGAATTAATGAAAAGAAATGCAAGGGAAGTTAGCCTAACCATACCAGATCTAAAACTGTATTTAAAGCAGCACATGGGAGATCAGTGGAATAGGTTAGGTACACAAGACACAATAGTCAATGACTACAGTAATCTCTTGTTTGATAAACCCAAAGACTCCAGCTTCTGGGAGAAGAACTCACTATTTGACAAAAACTGCTGGGAAAACTGGAAAATAGTATGGCAGAAAGTAGGCATACACCAACATCTTACACTGTATACCAAGATAAGGGTAAAATGGGTACAGGCTTTAGACATAAAGGGTGATACCATTTAAGAAAGAAAGGAATAGTTTACCTCTCAGATCTATGGAGATGGAAAGAATTTATGACTAAACAAGTGATAGAGAACATTACAAAATACAAAGTGGAAAATTTTGATTACATTACATTTAAAAGATTTTGCACAAACAAAGCCAATGCAGCCAAAATTAGTAGGAAATCAGAAAGCTGGGAAACAATTTTTACAGTCATTGTCTCTGATATAGGCCTCATTTCTAAAATATATAGAGAACTGAGTCAAATTTATAAAAATACAAGTCATTTCCCAATTGATAAATGCTTAAAGGATATGAACAGGCAGTTTTCAGATGAAGAAATTAAGGCTATCTATAGTCATATGAAAAAATGCTCTAAATCACTATTGATTAGAGAAATGCAAATCAAAATAACTTTGAGGTACCACATCACACCTATCAGGTTGGCTAACATGACAAAACAGGAAAATAATAAATGTTGGAGAAGATGTGGGAAAATTGGAACATGCATGCATTGTTGATGGAGTTGTAAACTGATTCAACCATTCCGGAGAGCAATTTGGAACTATGCCCAAAGGGCTACAAAACTGTGCATACCCTTTGATCTAGCAATACCACTACTAGGTCTGTATCCCAAAGAGATCATAAAAAAGGGAAAAGGACCCACATATACAAAAATATTTATAGCAGCTCTTTTTTAAAAAAAAAATTTATTTATTTATTTTTTGTTTTCAACATTCATTTTCTTAAGATTTTGAGTTTCAGATTTGCCCCCCTCCCCATTCCCCTTCTCGATGCATGCAATCCAACATAGGTTATATATGTACAATAATATTAAATATAAATCCACATTAGTCATGTTGTGAAGGAAGAATCAGAACAAAAGAGAAAAACCATGAGAAAGAAAAAGAAGGAGAAAATAGTATGTATAGCAGTTCTTTTTGTGGTAGTAAAGAATTGGAAATTGAGAGGATGCCCATCAACTGGGTAATAGCTGAACAAGTTGTGGTATTTGAATGGAATTGAATACTGTTCTGCTATAAGAAATGATGAGTAGGCAGATTTCAGAAAAACTTGCAAAGATGTATATGAACTGATGCTAAATGAAATGAACAGAACCAGGAGAACATTATACACAGTAACAGCCACATTGTATGATGACTGACTATGACAGACTTGGCTCTTCTCAGCAATGCAAGGATCTAAGACAACTCTAAAAGACTCACTACGGAAAATGCCATCCACATCCAGAGAAAGAACTATGGAGTCTGAATGCAGATGGAAGCATACTATTTGCTCTACTTTTCTTTTGTTGTTTTGTTTTATTGCTTCATTCTTGTGGTTCTTCCCATCAGTTCTAATTCTTCTTTACACCATGACTAATGGAAAATATGCTTGATATGAATGTATAAGTAGAGCCTATATCAGATTGCACACTGTCTTAGGGAGGTAGGAGGAGAGAGGGAGAGGGAGGGGGGAGAAAATTTAAAACTCAAAATCTTATGGAAGTGAATGATGAAAACTAAAAATAAATTAATTAATTGTTTTTAAAAAATGAATGTTGAAAATTACTTTCATTAGTGCAAAAAGTGACGACAAAATATGTTTAACATGATTGCACATGTATAACCTATATCAGATTACTTGCTGTCTTGGGGTGGGGAGGGAGAGAGGTAGAAAAATGTGGAACTCAAAATCTTATACAAAATGAATGTTGAAAACTATCTTTACATGTAACTGGAAAAAATAAAATACTGTTTTCAAAAAAAAGTGACCAAAGTTGAGGCAATTTGAACATGAACCAAAATATGTAGGTAAAATGGATTCCTCCTGCTTTAGAAGTGCAGGTCACGTAAGTTTCTTGAGGACAGAGAGGACTTCATTTTTCTCCTTTGTGTCTCCAGCACCTAACACAGGGCCTGGCACATGGTAGGCCCTTAATAAATTTGTTGAATTTAATTAAATTGCTGGACTAGAATCACTGAAAACATAGAACAACTTACCCTTTAATCTGCAATGAGAATTCATATCAGGCCACCACTTTAGACTGGAGCCACATGAGAATAGAGATGGGCCTTCCAATATCATGCTTCCTGAGCAGGCCAAGGTCACCTTCTCTCCAACCTCATAGAAAGGTTTCTTAGGATCACTTTGGAGACCTTTTTCCAAGGCAGGCAAGACACAACCTATTTCTAAAGAGAGCATAAAGTTGCAGAATGTAAGGGTTTTTAAATTTCCAAACTATCACAGTCCTGTGTTGCATGGATATTTTTAATTTGTTCTTGCTCATGAGTGGAGGAAAGAGTAGGATTGGGAAACTCACTCTTGAGAACTTTCTGAAAGACCAAGACACATATTCTTCCTCTAGAAGTAAAATGAAAATTTTAATTAAATAAGACTGATGAATGCAGAGATCTAAAAGTCAGCCTACCCATTAAAGGCAAAATTAGCTAAATCTCAAATTCTCTAGTTGAGTGATCTCCCACAGAGATTTTGCCTAATGCCATGTTCTGGTATATTTGCAGAAGATTAACATAACTCTACTCTCTGGAAATTTTCAGCTGACAGTTTTATCATCATAACTCCTAAGGCTGTCAAGTGTTCATTTTCTTCTGCCTCCATCCCTTATGACCTACTTACCATTGTTAGCCCAGGTCCTCAAGGTGAAAATATATCACATAGAAAGAGAGGAAACACACAGCTAGAGAAAGCATGAAAAAGAATGATAAAAACCATAAGAAAGTTTTACAGTACCACTAATAGTCACTGAGCCATAGTTTGGAAAATTTTGCTCTATTTCTTGTATGTTTTTGTAATGGAACTAATATATCATGCATTTCACTGCCTAGGATTTTCAACAAATCACATTAGCCAACTCAAAAATTTTTCTTTACATTTTGCTGTCCTGACTTTGTGAAACAGCTAGTTGCTGCAATACAAGCTCAGATGGAACCTTAAGTTGAGATTTGGCTAATATTCTAGCAGGTTAAAGAATTCTCCAAGAACTAAATAAATTAATAATGATAACTAACATTTATACAGCACTTTAAGGTTTGCCAAGTGCTTTACATATATCATCTCAGCTGATCCTCTAAGAGCCTTGTAAGAAAGGTATTATAATTATCTCCATTTTATAGATGAAGAAACTTGAGACTTGCCTAGGTTCACATAGTTAGTGCTTAAAGAAGCATTCAAACTCAGGTCTTGTTAACTGCAAATCCAGCACTCTATCCACCCCACGACCTAGCAGCATCCACTGCAATGCAGAATGTCCCCAAGAGGATTACTCAGAGTAGCTCTGAACTTGGGTTAGGACCAAATCAGTTTCCAAAGTAAATGATGTCAGGACCCAGAATAAGCAGCCACTTGTCCCAGTGGCTCTTCAATATGCCCCAACTGTAATTTCCAGGTTTAAGTAGAACATTATCATCAAGATTACATACTCTGGCAATGTTTTTCCCCAATAAGCCAAGTTAAATCTTCTCCACATTTGGCAACAGGGTCCCCAGCAAGAGCATATCCCTCCTGGCATGTATAAACCACACTTCTTCCAACTGGAAACGATGGACCTGTATCCTGAACAAAGTAAGGAAAACTCAGAATATGAAGCAGGGGGTAGGATGAGGAAGGGGCAGAGAATTATGTTTTTTTTTCTTTTTTTGAGAATCATGTTTTTAAGGGAGAAAATAGGTTATCTGTATATTGTAGATAGATACGTTAGGTATACTATATCTATATGTATATAGGCATATACATTTACATGTGTACATATATACAAGATGGACACAAATAGGCTACGGCAAGTTTCCAATAAAGCCATATGTGCGAGAATTGGCATAAATATTGTCACCCAGAAAATGTACAATCAAAAAAGAAGAGTCAGTCATATAGCAAGGGGGAAAGGAATGAGGGAAAAGAACAAGTATTTATTAAATGTCTACTGTGCCAGGCACTGTGATAAGTACTTTACAAGTATGATCTCATTCAATCCTCTCAATAATCCTAGGTAACAGGTGTTAATATGATCCCCATTTTTACAGTTGAAGAAACTGAGGTAGATAGACATTAAATAATTTGCCCAGGGTCATACAGGAACTTACTAAAGTGTCTGAGGCCAGATTTGAACTTAGGTGTTCCTGATTCCAGTCCCAGGACTCTATCCATTGTGCCATCTAGGTACCTCTGCAGCTAGAATTTAGGGGTATAGTGAGAGTGAAGGATAGCAATCAGGCAACCTAGGTGCTACACTAATACTCACAAAATGCAAAAATGACCTATAGGAAGACCCTAAGCATCTTTAACGAAAAGTGTATGGAAGAACATGGACAAGAATCATTGAGGATAAAATGATGGGAGTGGGTTGGTACCTGCCCTGATGAAGGGCCCACATCAATCACAGCACCATTTAAAGATGTGAGTACTATTTGCTTTGGCAACATTGTGGATGTGTTGAGAAGTAAGAAAGACTCAAATATCATTAATAGGTTTCCTAAAAAGTTGAAGCTTCTGGTTTAATGTGAACCAAAAGCAGAGAAGGCAATTTCCCATGTTATCAAATAAGTAGGAAGTATGTCCATTCAGGACAAGTCTCCCTTTCCCATTCTAACTACAAAAATGTCTGAAGTACAGTTATAGGTAGCTCACAGTCCACTAGCTAAAGGTCTATTTGCCTAATGAGCTTCCTTGGGATAGTCCAACCAGAATGGACTGCCTAGTTGACATGTTTCTGGGGGAAAAGTTATTCTCAGTACCAAGGATATATGTTTTTACATTTACAAATCTGACTGTAACTTTATGGTTTAAGTGACATGACCTCTGATATGCTTACATTTCTGGACAGGGGAGAAATGGGGAAGGATAATTTTTATTCTCTTTACTATACATTAGAGTGTAAGCTCCTTGAGGGCAGGGATTGACTTCACTTTTTTTTGTATCCCTAGTGTTTAGCACTGTGTCAATCACAAAGTTGGAGCTTAATAAATGCTTGGTAATTGATATGCAAGAAAAATCACAAATTGGTTAAAGAAACAAAGAGAACACAGGAGAGAGGAGGAAAGGGGGACAAGGGGAATGATTCACAATAAATGTTTGTGGATTATTTCTCTGAAAGAGATGGACTTCTAGCTGGGAGAGATTATGTGGGTTAGTAAAACTTTCACTACTGGGAGTCATAGTCAAAAGATTTTTGGGATTTCTGACAAGTTATTTAACCTACTGAATCTTGATTTTCTCACCTGTAAAAAGAGAAGTTAAATTACATGATCTTCAAGGTCTTCTTCAACTCAAAAAATTTTATGATTCTGTGCAACTGAACTACGGCTAAAGCAGCATGGCCAGAACATAAAGAAAAGACTCAGTGTAAAGAAAACACTGAAAACCTACTTGAACAAATCCATTTTCCAAGGGAGGTGGTGATGGGCAGGAAGTTGTGGGGACTCCAGACATATCAAAGCAATGTGGTTCTATCAAGCTAGAAAGCAGAACAGAAAAGGACTTTATCATCATTTAGGTAACTCTGCAGAGATTGTATAAGTTATTGTCCATACTAACGCATTCTTTTGTTTGCATGTTAAAGGAATATGCTTATATATATACAGCAATACGACAACTAACAAGACAAAATCAAAATATTTCAAACTAAATGAGGAAGTAAAGAAAGATGTATTAGAATAGTCCCTTTAGGTCTCAAATATATAATATATATTTATGGCAGCTTTTATTTTATCTCTAGCGGCAAAGAACTAGAACCTAAGGAGGTACTGCCACTGGCAGAACAAATTATGGTGTATTAATATAATGGAATACTCTTGTTCTGTAACAAATGATGAAAGAAATGATTTCAGAAAAACCTTGGAAGACTTGTATGAATTGATAAAGAGCAGCTAAGTTAGCAGAACCAGGAGAACAATTTATAACAACACCATTGTAAAGACAAACAACTTTGGAACACAAAAGAACTCTGACCAACTACAATGATCAACCACAATTCCAGAGGACCAAGGATGAAGCAAGCCTTCTAACAGAGAGGCTATGTACTCATGCTTCAGAATCACACACACAGGGGCAGCTAGGTGGCACAGTAGGTAGAGCACTGGCCTGAAGTCAGGAGACCCGAGTTCAAATCCAGCCTCAGACACATAACACTCACTAGCTGTATGACCCTAGGCAAGTCACTTAACTCCATTGCCTAGCCAAAAAACAAACAAAAACAGAATCACACACATGCACACATGCACATGCACATATATATATGTATACATATATACATATATATTTGATATAGCCAAATATGGGAAATCTTTTTCTGCTTGACTATGCATATTTGTTACATGGGTTTTCTTTTTCTTTTTTTTTTCAATGAGCAAATGAGAGAGAGAGAAAATTAAATTTTGTTAAAATTGAAAAATATCTATTAAATTTTAAAAAATAAATAAAACATACCATAACCTCTGACATCACTTACAAGTCTGAGATTCTGTGACTGAATCAAGGCAGAAAGTAGTAACAGAATCTAGTGCCTCATCATCAACTAACCCAACTCCTGACACAGTTGTTATGTAATTGATACTTCAATATTTTAGCAAATCTGTGATGTCATTTATAAATGACTGATTATATATATAATATATATACAATATAATATACAATAATATATATCAGAACCCATGGTATCCTTCTCATCATATGCATTTCTTTTCTATGTCCTCCCATAAATCTTCTATCAATAGACAATTTATTCAATGTGCAGATGACCTTCCTGTGGGTCTTGTCTCCTCACTAGAATGTAAGCTTCTCAAAGGCAGGGATTGTTTTTGCCTTTCTTTGTATCCCTAAGCATTGCCTAGCACATAGTAAACATATAATAAATATTTGTTGACTAGAACTAACTGACTATGGGCCCCAGTGCATCCCTTGTTTGAACTGTGATTTGTTATCCCTCCTTCTCATGACTTAACCAGCCCTACCTTCTTTCCAAGGGTGTATTTGCTAAGTGATGCTTTTCAAGACATTTCTTGTACACAAGTCATCATTAGAAATACGTACCCTTCAGCTAGGTGGTGCAGTGGATAGAACACTGGCCCTGGATTCAGGAGGACCTAAGTTCAAATCCGGCCTCAGACACATAACACTTACTAGCTGTGTGACCCTGGGCAAGTCACTTAACCCCATTGCCTAGCCAAAAAAAGAAAAAAAAAAGGAAAGAAATATGTATCCTATTCACACCTACCATACAAATCTCTCAATTGCCCTTTGCAGTCACTTCTAACTTTGATTCTCAAGATATTATGGTCTTCAGTGATTTCTAGCCACAAGACATCTCCAGAGGAATGTTGGTGCTAAATGGAGTTTCATCCCTAGATAGGGATCACTGAAAGGGCTATTCAGTTCTCAAGTGTAGCTCACCTTGTTATCTTCATTCTATCCAGTTCTGTAAGAAATAGTGATAATCTGACTAAATGCACTATTTCCCCCTTTTTTCAGAGCCAATGTCTAGTTTAACTAGGTAAAGTTGGAGTTGTAATTATATTTAGTGTCTTCTCATCTATATACTTTCTTTTAATTTGATGTTAATTTTGACCTTGACTCTTGCTGGTCATGGTTTGCCTGCCTCCAAACAGTTAATTTAGAAACTGCTCCCATGTCAGTAACTGGCCATTTCCCATCTCTTAATGTAGAGTAAATTACATTTTTATCGTGTTGTTCAGTACTTGCCATTTCCAGTTCCCTCCAATTCTCTTCTCAAAATAAAGTGTTCATGTATTTAGATATCAGAATTCTGAGTAATTTATAAATCTTTGACCTCTTTTATTTCTTAATACTGAACCATATTTTTAACATGTTTTTCATACCTGTTGACCTTCACATTATAATAACTAAATATTAAGGTGCATATTAATTTGGTTTGGAGAATCATGTTAAAGTTCTTCATAAACTTGGCTGCTTTGTGTCATGCAACAGATGTTGGAGCACCAGCTGCCATTGTCTCCACAGTGGTCTTTTGCTTATGCTCACCATGCACTCATGTAAGACAAGGTGACCAAGGGTCCCAGGAAATTATCTTTTTGTCTTTGTTCACATGGTGAAACCACGTCTGCCAACTGAAGGAGTGCCCAAGGCACTGTACTTTCGTCTCTAAGGAAAACTTGTGAGACTTCTTTCCATTTTTCAGAAATTTCCTTATGACTTCCGGTTTCATTTATCATGAGAATGTCAATATTTATATGGTTCATTTCTTTCAGTATTACATCAATTGTTGGTTATTGGACAAAGATTCTCTGTGTGTGTGTGTGTGTGTGTGTGTCTTTCTCTGTCTCTCTCTGTGTTTCTTTCTCTGTCTCTGTCTCTCCCATTTAAATCAATACTTACAATTAGTCTAAAACAGTGTGAGTCTCAAGACAACCCTCCCACTATCTCTGTGGAAATGCAATAGGGTCACACACGACCAAAGATCATTTCTTTTTTTTATTTTTGTCCATTTCATATGTTGCTATAGAGAAAAAAAATCATCATCAGGTCCAGTCTACTAGTGATGAACCTTTCCATATTTAGCTATGCTGTTCCTCAGACAATAGGCACTGGCTGTCACTGAGATCACACTAAAAGTCTTTCCAGCCTTAGAGCATTTGCTAGTGCCTGTGTCCCACTAGCACAGTACTTCAAGCACCCAGAGTCACTGCTGCATCATGCTGAGGCATAGAATGGGACCTTGGTAGAAAATGTACTCCATAGACACTCGGTAAATATGAATGAATTGATTAATCAAGCTGCATTCTGGTCAGAATTGCTCACCCTCCTGGACAGATAAGAATGAATTCTCAGATTCATTCACTAGAATTTTCCCCTGCATAATCATTATTTACATTTCTATAGCACTACAAGGTTTCCAATGTACTTTACACAGATACACACACATACACACACACACACAGAGACATGCACACACACATCCCTAAAGGTAGACAGGGAGTTGAACATATTACTGTGCCCATTTTACAGATGAGGAAGCTACAAGTTTAAAAATGACTTTCCTAGTCACAGCACTAATAGGTAAAGAACCTAGATTCAAACCTATTTTCTTATTCTTAAGTCCAATGCTCCCTTCACTCCTCCATGCTGAATCTAGACTAACATTAGATTGGAAAAGACAATACGTGGTGCTAGCTACATGATGCAGACAGAGGCCCCTCTGCCCATCATCCCATAAGGAACTGCAACATCCCAAACTTATTCCTAGGAATGTGTGCCCTAAAATTCTATATCCTTGTACGTTTCCTTATTGAAAAACTTGTGAAGTAGTTGCAGTTGGGCAGAACATTTAGGAGCCCACAGAAGCAAGTCCATCAAAAAGTATGCTGTAGTTCAACAAAAGGCCTTTGAATTAGTAAGTTTACTTCTTACATATCCAGCAATAATTATAGCTTCCTTTTCACCAACTAAAATGATCCAATCCTAAGTATCCAATTTCCTGTTTTTTCTTGAATCATAGGATGGCTTCACCAGGGAAAAGGGGAGCAATGCCATATGGAAGAAAGAGGACAAGATCAGAGTTTGATTTATTCATGGAGCTTCTTTTGATATAGCTTGGCCCAGGGCACTTGCAAACTGGGAAAGGGGAAGGGAAGGAGAGTTGGTAGAGTTTGTGCTAGTATACTCACTGTCTACTAGAGAGATTCTCCCAGTTTTTCAAGGACAAGTGAGTTTCCTCTTCTCCCTATTCAGTTGTGCAAATGGATTCTGCTGGATAATTTCATTCCTTGAGGTATGTTCATATGAAGAGGAAACCACAGTGTTTTGCACATATCAGGCATTTAATAAATACTGGTTAATTTGACTACACAAGGACTTCTCACCCACCCTACTTTACCCTGCCTGCAGTTATTCACATAAGCCAGATGTCTGTTTTCAAATTTTTTATCATTTGATTCAATGCAACAAATATTCACTAATTGGAATGTAAGCTCCTAGAGGGCAGGGGCTATTGTTATTTGGTGTTTGTATCCTCAAGACCTAACACAGAGCCTGGTACATAGTAGGAACTCAAAAAGTCATAATAGGAACTTGTTGAATAGTTAATTGGTTAACCACCTATTATGGGCAATGAATTGTGGTGGCCTTACAGAGGGAATATAGAGATGAAACAAGACATAGTCTCTGCCCTCAATGAGTTATCAATCTAATAAGAGATATCAGAAAAATGCACAAATTAATATTATGATAGGAGGGCACAGAAGCAATCTGAAGAGAGGCATGTAAGAGTTTCAAAGACAAAAGGCTCACTTATAAAGGGAAACCTGGGAAAGCTTCATGGTGGTAGCTCCTAAACAGGGCCTTGAAGGAAGAGAAGGATTTTAATCATCAAAAATGTGGGAGGTAATCATTCCAGGCATGTGGAACACTGTATGCAAAGGTAGGGCAATAGGAAAGGGCTAGACAAGATTATAGAATCATAGTATAAGTTTCCAGCTAGAAAGAACCTTAGAAGCAATCAAATCCAAGACCCTCCATACATTTTACAAATAAGGAAACAGAAACAAAGAAAAGTTATGTGACTTATAACTAGTAAATGTCTGAGGTAGAATTTCAACTTCGATCTAGTACGCTATGCACTATACCTTAATAATCATAAAAATAAGAAGAAAATAATAAATAAGAAAATACTATTTGAATAACTACTATGTTTTTGATACTGTGCTCCACACAAAGACTGTTCAAAAGACTTGTTTTCATTTTACCGAAAATGCTCCAACTCTTCATTTTGGCAAGGTTGTGTTTCAAATGCTTCTCCAATACAGGATTTGCCACCTCCACTAGGACGTGGATTATCACAGCTTCGTCTCCTTTCTTTCCTCCCTGCCATACAAGTACTCCAAGGAGACCAGCAACTCCATCTTCCATCAACAATTCCTATTGGTCAAGAGACATGTAGGGTAAGAATGTGATACCTCAATAAGGGTAAACGCTTTCTGAATTTTAGGGTTAATTCTTCAGACCTTAAGTTTATATCCCTAGTTTATTCATTTACTTGGGGCTGGGAGAGAACATATAATTGAAGACCTTCAATTATTTCCAAATAATTTTTCTGTATACATTGCATTAAGAGGATATTTTCCAGACAATCCAATATGGTCCCTCACACTGGTTAAGAAGAGTTACACTGAGCTCACTCCACCCTAGTAGCAATTACAGTAAGATCTTACATTAAGTACATAGTGCTTTCATTTGATCTTTATTAATTTCAAATTTCAGTTGATGTCTTTTGTTCTTAAATTACTTTCACTTCCAAATATATCACTGCCTACTCCTCTACCCAGTAAGGCATTCCTTGTAAGCAATAAATCAATCAACAAGCTTTTATTGATCACCCACTATGAGCCAAAGTAGTTTTATGTAATACTCTGCATTATGACACGCTGTCCCAGTGAGAAAAAAACAGAGCTTAGAGAGCTTAAAAGACTTGCTTGAGGTAATTTAGCCAATAAGTGATTGGGGGTGGGGGTTAAGGATGAACTAGAATCTAAATCCCCATATTCTTAGTCATGCTTTTAAGATTACCCTCTACACTTCCTCTCATTAACACTGGAGGAATGTAACTACACCCCCAAAATTCATTTGTATAAGATTCTCTTGATTGGTGGAGATTAATGATCCAAAGTTCCAGGTCTGCCTGAGTGGTGGAGTTGGTGAGAACCTGAAAAACAGGAGAGACCTTGATCTTCTGCCTTCCATCTTGAAGAGAGAGGTCATTAGGTACCATATTCTCTTCAGAGAGACACCCCTGAGGGGAAAGATTTTGAGAAGAAGTAGACATGCTTTCTCTCTTAAAACTGGAAACAAGAACACCAAGTTCTCTCTTCTCCATACAGACTGAGTACTACCAATCTCCACCAAACACTGCCAGAGCTACGGTCAGATGCCTAAGTGCCAAAAATAACTTCAGGAAAATAGAATGAATACTGACCTTCCTGACTTTCCACAAGGAATCCATGCTCACATGCAGCACCAAATGTGTAAGGTTTGCAGTGGCACTGGCACTGGGTTCCCACAACTACTGCCAGGCCACCATTTTTACAAGGCCTGCAATGGCAAGGGTCGAATTCTGCCAGATACTCCTCAATGGCTCTTTTCAGATATAGCCTTTTGACAGACGCACAGGGAACCTCCTTCACGAGCTCATATAGAGGTGTGAGCTATAAAGGTCAAGACAAGTTAAACACATGCATTGCCCTAGGAAATGGCCTGCTAATTCTGCTTTGTTCTTTTTCTAAATCTAAAAGACAACAATTCATTTTTTTAAAAATTTTAATGAGATGGTGGAAAATGCTATCCACTTCCAGAGAAAGAACTATGGAGTTTGAATGCAGATCAAAGCATACTATTTGCCCTATTTTTTCCTTCTGTTTTGTTTTGTTTCCTCTTTCTTATGGTTCCTCCTATTGGTTCTAATTCTTCCTTACAACTTGACTAATGTGAAAATATGTTTAATAGGAATGTATATGTAAAGCTTATATCAGATTGCACACCATCTTGGGAAGGGAGGTGGGGAGGGAGGGGGAGAAAAATTTAAAACTCAAAAGCATATGGAAGTAATTGTTGAAAACTAAAAATAAATTAATAATAAAAAATTTTTTTAAAAGGAAAAAAAATTAATGAGAACTCAGACAAGTCAAGATGAGCCAGGAGATGGTGGTTCCTCTATAAGAAGAAAGAGAAAAGAATGCCTTCAAGTAGAAGAAGGATTATGAGGAAGTTGTGATCCAGCAGCTTTCCATTTCCACCAAGGGAAGAACAAAAGAAAATGGACCTCAAATGCAAAAGAAGAATAATACCTGACACCCCCATTAACATCAAGTGAGGATTTTTTCAGGACAGAGGAAACATGGGCACACTTGTAGGCAGTAGGAAATGAGCCAATTGAAAGGGAGACATTGAAGATAGGTGAGAGTGGGGATGATAGAGGGCACAATATGTTGGAGGAGATGGAATGGAATGGGGTTACTTGAACAAATAGAGTCCACCAAGTGAAAGATCCACGATTCCAACCTAGGTTTTCTGACTTCAGACCCAGTATTTTTCCTCTATACCTCAAGACCTCAATTAGCGGAATAAATAGCTTGACTTAGAAGGATGATTGGTTTAACTCAAGAATGAGAAGCCCATAAAGGTTGTGGAATCTCTGTACCTGGAGAGCCTTAAAAAAAATAGAAATACACATCAGTCTGCCATAGATACAGTAGATTTAGACCACTTGGAGGAAGGAGGCAAGGCCAAGTGACCTGCTCTCTGAGGCCTTGGCTCTTTTTGAGCAGAGGGCCAAGGAAAAACCCAAACAAAAGTAGCTAATGATTAGAAATAGAAATTCTGTGGCTAATTTCCCTTGCACTGTATTTAGCATTAAACTTTTCCTGATAAAATAGGAGCACACATGACAACATATCTACAATTCTTTATTATTGTGTATGCATACATTTTATTGTATGAAGCAGAATTTGACTGCAGGAGATACTAATTAGAGTAGTCTCTGTTTAACCATCTCATTTTACTGGTAAAATAAACATATCTGCCCCCTGCTGCCTTAAGTAAAACATCACCTACCTTTTGTTTTATTATCTTGGGATACCGTCCCACAGTTGCAGCCCATGAAGCATACCGGGCTCTATTTCCAGCAGGATCATCTACATTTATATAACTAAGACCAGCTACCAAAGCTGAGCTTCCTCCCTGGACAACTGCATTACCACGGAGCAAGTTGTCTTTCGTTCCTATACAAGAAGGAATTAAAAATGTCAAGTAAGGATATATAAATGCATATAAAATGAAAATTCCAGCAAGCATTCACAAAAAATGCACAGCATTCAGAATTACAGAAGTATAACATACAAAATGTAAGTATAAGTAACATCTTAATTAACACAAAATGAGTTGTGATCTGAACCTTTGAAAGGAGTAGCCTCATTAGTGATTCAAAGTGTTTCTGATGTAAAGGGAATTGATCAGTGGAATCACTGTTCTCAAATTAGCTTGAAATCACAGGTCATGGATTTTGATTAGGAGGCATCTAAAGGCCCTCTCAATCTAGATTATAGATATGCCCATTGACACCTTGCTGAAAGGCACAAGGAACGCCTGATGATTGGCTGACTGAGACTAGAGGACAGACTCCTGTCAGAGGAGTTACCACTCTCTATGGACTAAAAATCAAGCTGTGAGACCATCTCGCTAACTATCTCTCACTCTCACTTGGACTGTGAGAAGGTGGACCAGAATGCAATAGAGAAACTCTGTGCTCTGGGGGGTTTGGGTAACCCGTGCTCATGTGCAGTTTTGTCCTTCAAGGAGCAGATGGTAGAACAAGCAAAAGACACAATCGATACAACATTACACACGTCCTTGGATGCGAAACTAAACCGTACAAACTCTGTAACTCAGTGATACTAGTACTAGGCCTGTACCTGAGTTGTATAGGGTCACATAGCCAGTATTTGGGAGAGGTAAGACTTGAATCCAAATCTTTTTGGATTCAAAGCCAGCTCTTTATCAACTAAGCCACAATGTCCCTCAGTAGAAAAGAAAGGATGTATCTAAATAGATGAAAACCAAGAAAGGAAAAACGTCTATGAAAGTACATTTAAAATCTCTTGTAGGAAAGGTCCCAGGGTAAGAACAAGAGGCAGACCTATAGTTTGCGTGCAGGAATTCAGACTGAGGAATTACTCCTATGAAGGGAAGGACACCAGAGGGAGCTGAAGCTTGAGAACTCATTGAACTCACCATAGAAAGCAGAAACACTGAGGGTGGTCTGGCACAAATGATGGGCCCTGCTTTCTATGGCCCAATGCCCTCCAGTACACCAAAATGTATGACAAATTAGATCTCTCCAAATTATAAGAATTTGACAGGAAGAAAACAAGCCCAGAAGAGAGGACAAGAATATACTTTCTTCAAAGGAAAACATTGGTCAGCAGAAGGAATGTGTCAAGTCCTCATAGAGATGGGACCTCAATAGGAACAGAATAAAAAGTTTGATGAATTTATTGTTCCAGCTTGAATTGTATGTTTTAACTTATAAAGAATTATTCCAATTATTAATCTGTCTTCATTCACTTGTGTTTTAGAAGAGAGAAAGAAACTAGTGATCTTTTGGGAATCTTCTGACCTAACATATTCTCCATTGTTACCCAGCAAACATCTGCTATCAATGCTAACCTAATAAGGTAGATTATTCAAGAAAGGGTACTAGGGGAAAGATTAACAGAAGAAGCTTGTGGGTATGAGTGCCCTCATATACTGGGTTAACTCTCCATCACTCTGGCCTAAACAAGGGTCCCTGATTATTCCTGTTCATTGGCTATAGAGTAGCCAACATTTTTCTTTAGCTCTACCAAGTTTAATATTCCTTCAAAAGTTAAAAAATTCCAAATAGGAAATAAACACTAAGAATGTGAGAGACTGAGACAGAGAAACAGAAAGAAACAGAGACAGAAAGAAAATGTTGCGTACAACAAACTGACTCCTTTACCTTCAGTTAGAAAAACTGGATATGACATATCTCTAGCAATTATTGAATGTGAATTATAAAGAGAATACATACTGCTCACCTCTTTATGGCACTTTTACAGACATTGATCATATTATAAAACATTTTAAGTTAATGAACACATTGATGAAGGCATTGAACTCACCTGAAGTCAACTTTAATAACTCAATAAGTTCTTTGCATTTCTGCTTAGATATTTTAACAAAGAAAAGATTCAAGTTTCGTGAGGTACATTCCTTCATGGCAAGAAAGCTAAAATCTAGAAGAAAATACATATATATATATAATTAACTTTCAGTATTAACTAAAAATTTCATTTGTTTTGTTTTGTTTTTCTTTTTCTTTATGACCATTACTATTTGGGACATCTCAATTAATCAAATAATGCATATGAAAAATATTTTGTAAACTGTAAAGCAATATTAAAATTTACAGAAATATCTGAAGTAGTGCTTTTTATGATGGCAAAGAAATGGCAACTGAAAGAATACCCACCAACTGGGGAATGGCTGAACAAGTTGTGGTATAAGAATATGATAGAATACTACTGTGCTATAAGAAATGATAAAGTGGATGGTTCCAGGAAAACCTAGGAAGACATATTTAAACTGATGTAAACTGAAGTGAGCAGAATTAGGATAATAATCTATATAGTAACAGCAATATTATAAAGATAGATGAGTTTAAAAGGCTTAGTAATTCTGACCAACACAATGACCCACCACAGTTCCAAAGCACTCATAAAGGAATATACTATCCACCTTCAAATAGAGTTGATTGATTCAGAGTGCAGATTGAGGCATATTTCTTTTTCTTGCTTTTTGTAAAAAACATAGCTAATGCAGAAATCTGTTTTGCACAATCACACATTTGAAATTTTTTCCCTTGCCTTCTCAATGAGTGAGGGAGGAAGAGAATTTAAAATTCAAAAAATAAAAATAAATCTGCACTTTTAAAAAAATTTAATTTAGGGGCAGCTAGGTGGTGCAGTGGATAGAGCACAGGCCCTAGAGTCAGGAGGACCTGAGTTCAAATCCAGCGTTAGACATATAACACTTATTAGCTCTGTGACCCCAGGCAAGTCACTTAACCCCATTGCCTAGCCAAAAAAAAGAAAAAATTTAATTTAAAGAGCACAAAATGACTAATCTTTGAATGTTGTCATTCAGTTGTAAGGCTGAAAAACAAGCACTTTTCATTACTTTTAAAATGGAGAAGAAGATGACCTCTTAAAACAACGTAAGGACAATCTGTGAGTGAGTTTTTTTAAGGAAATGCTGAAATGTAGTAGCCTCAGGAAAAATTGTTTTGTTTCTGTGCCAACTTTGGTCATTGTGAAGTGTAAAAAATACATTATAAGAATAGTAGATAAATGTTTCAGAATGCATTTCATCTGAGGAGCAACAGGATACAGTGAAAATCTGACCGGGTTTCACATCCTTCCCATGAGTTTACTGTTGCTTCCTAATTATAGGAGTTGATCTTTACATCCCAGAAGACAAAAAGCAAACTAGTATCAATAAGTGAGGGTATCACAGCGAGAAGAGGATAAAACAATATTCTTGGATGTATAAGAATCTGAGATGCAGTATCAATCATGAAGGAGAAATGGTTGGGTAAAGCAGAGTTAATCCTGAGACTGCAGAGTCAATCTTGTTAGATAAGGAAGATAGACATCAATCAATAAATATTTATTAAGCACCTACTATCATGCACCCTGGAAGTTGTATAGAAACATAAGAAATCATTCCTCCCCTGAAAGAGGTCCCAGATTAGCTGGGGAAAGAAGACAAATACAACCAATTACATCAGGTGCTAAATAAATATCAGATGAGGAATACAAACAACACTTTTCATAGAAACCCTGAAGATGAAGAATTTATTTCTGGCTAAGGTAGTCAGAGAAGGCTTCATGAAGGAAATGGTAATAATATTGGCTTATAAAAATCAGTAGGATTATCTTGGTAAAGAGGAGAAGTGAGGGCATCCCTGGCAGGAAAAACTGTGAACAAAGGAGCAGAGGTGGGGGAAAAGGTATATGTAAGAGAAAGAGTAGAAACAGTCTAGAAAGTATAGGGTTAAGGGGCAACTAGGTGGTGCAGAAGATAGAGCAATGGCCCTGGAGTCAGGAGAATCTGAGTTCAAATCTGGTCTCAGACCAGACACTTGACACTTATTAGACAAGTTACTTAATCCCAATTGCCTTGCCAAAAAAAAAAGTATAGGGTTAACGTAGCAGAGTAGTATAAAATGCAGTTTCTCCCTTAATTGCTTCTGGTAGGATGATTTTAACTTGAGGCAATTAGCATAATTTTCTCCTGGCTGTGTGGAAAGTGGTGCTGCACAAGTCCTCATCCTACCAAATCCAGATGTTTCCAAAGAAAACACATGTGTTTATAATTTGGGGTGAATACAACTTTGTCCTATAGGAAATAGAAATTGATTGAACCTGAAATTCTTAGGTTTGTGAGAACACCTTGAGCATTACTAGTTCTTTTGTCATATAAAAGTACTTCATGGGATGTTGGTTCATCAGAAAAAGACAGCATTCCAGTGATGGGAGATAGCTCATACAAAGGCACAGAAATGGGAAATAGAGTATGGTATATGATAAACAGAGAAGATGCCAGTTTTGGGTAGGTCACAGGAGCACAGGAGAGGGAATAATATGCAACTAAGTATAGAAGAACAGCACAATTTTAATAACCATACCATGTTGCTTCATTTTGTCCGTGTCTATATAAAAGAGAACTTTGTACTCTCCTCCTAGGGACCCAGACTGCAGATAATGAGTCCCATACAATTCAATTATCCTTCGATATGAACTATAGTCATATAGAGAAGGGAGGTGTAAGAGATCTTTCCAAAAGAGTTCAGCAAGATTTAAAAATTCTGGTTGGTTGTTAATGAACTGAGCTACTTCAACACTGTTCTGGATAACCATCAGTTGATAACTCTAAAGGAAGAACAAAAATAAATTAAAAGGGTCCATTCCTGACATGCATCTCACCCCATTCCCCATCCTCTATCATCCCTGTTCATGATTCCCTATGATGTTCCACAGCTGACCCTTCTATATACAACAATCATGGAGTCTTCTGGAGTTCAAGCCTCCACAAAGAATCCCTGAGTGGAATGGGGAAAATGTCTTTTTCCTCAAATGACCTCCACAAGGGTAAATTGTATTTCTTCTCAAACTTGGATGGGAAGCATAGAGTCACTCAGTTAATGTATATGGACTAAACTCATTAAGTATTAAAACAATCTTAAGGATATTTACTCTAATGCTGTCCTTGGGAAACAGAATATTCTAGAGGTGAAATAAAAAGGTCCTTTTGGTACTTCAGTAACTAAATCCCCTTAGATCAGGTCTAAGGTAAATCTACCCTATACGGAATCCCCTTCGTAACCAATAGTGGTCCACCAAAGTTTAAAATTTTTTGTTGGTCAGTCATTTTTCAGTCATATCCAACCCTTCATGATCTTATTTGAGGAGTTGGTTTGGCAATTCCATCTCCAGTGGACCCAGTGGACCCAGTGGATCATTTTGTCAGGCAATCAGAGATTAAATGAATTGTTCAAGGTCACGTAGCTAGGAAATGTCTCAGGCTGGATTTGTACTCGGGTCTTCCTGACTTTGGGCCCAGTGCTCTATCCACTGAGCCACCAAGCTGCCTCTCCTAAAATTTTTACTAGTCCCCAAAAAAAAAAAATTTTGCCATTTCACTCATTCATCCCACCATCACATACTCGGGTAGTAAATGTTCTCTTTTGGCTTGAATTATTAGGAAAGTGATTATCTGCAAAGATGCTATAAAATGTGCACATTATGAATAATAATGACCCCCCCCAACATGTCTAAGCAAACAAGCATATAGTCATTAACTCAACTCATCTCAATTGTTTATTTTTCCCTAGATAGATGCCTAAGAGACTCAAGAACATTCAGTTATCAAGTGTTTTAGAAGCACTTCAGATTTCTGAGGGAAAATCCATATCCTAGACTTTTCAAAAACCTTTTTAGCCTCAAAGGTTACTTTGTCCAGCACAATTAACATTATCTGGTTATGATGATGCACACACCAGTTAGAAACTAAAAAAGGTGACTAAAAAAGGTGCAGAGAGTGACCATGAATTTCTTTACTTTATAAGGTTCAGGAGAATCTTAGTAGCTTCAACTATAAAGTTAAGGAGTTTTCTCTAGTGGGAAACTTTTTCAAATGCATCAGTTTTCTGCCAAAATCAAAAAACCCAAGAGATTGAACAAGTACAGAATCTTTAATAAGAGAATAAAATTATAAATAAATTCCTCATCAGTACAATATAATAATAGGAATGTTCAAAGAATAGATCATTTTGTCATCTTCATAGTAGGATACATTCATTTTTACAAAAAAAATGAAAACACCCTTTTATTAAGTTAACTTTTGCTAAATATAAAGTTAATGATCCACAGAAACATCATATTTCAGTTAATAGGAAAGTACCATTCATTAGTGGCGCCAGTTGACTATTGCTAAAGGTAATTATTCTCACACATTGACTTCTATATATTCTGCTAGTTTCTACTAACCTTTTCATTTTGGTTTTCGTTTTTACTTGAGTCGTGCCTGTATCCACTATTTGATGTAAAATGAGTCTCCTTATGTTTGATATAAGACCAACTACTATTGTAAAATTCATAACTGAAATCATTATCTACTTTCACCTGGAAGGAAAAACAGAAACTTTTATTCATGGCTAAATCTGGCCTTAGAAGTTACAAAGAACAGCTGTTACCATTTCTATCCCTAGAAAGACTTCTGCCCATTTCCATCACTCTGGAGGCTTCTTTTCCCTGTGTACAAAATGCAAAACAAAGATCTTCACTTGGCAACATTAACTAAGGCTGTGCCGTAAGATTATAGCAAGAAAGGTAGTAACGAGAAAGTGATCTATTAATCAATGAACATGGTATCAATAAAAGCATTTCAAAAATGTAGCAACTATACAATTCTAGACAAAATACTTTCTGTTTATCTTAGTGACAACTTTTACATAATACTTGTACCGGTCGCGCCGACCTTGTGTCGGCAGCACCGACCTTCTCCTCCTATAAGGAGCAGGCTGCCAGAGTCATACTCACTCTCGAGTCTTCGGTCCTCAGCCAGATAGACACACAGAGACGAGCCATCGGGAGGCACCAACACCAGAGCTTTATTCAGAGGCCATCACAGCAAGCCATCACAGCAAGGCCAGAGCAACAGAGCAGGAGCCAAGAGAGAGAGCTCTGACCACGCTCGTTCCTAAGTACCTACTTAGCCCCTCCTCCCCAGCCTGCTTACTAGCCAATGATTGTAGGGTCAGATACCAGAAGGGGCTGTCTGAGTTTAGCACACCAAGGGGGAGGGAGTGACGTAGGAGGCTAGGACCGGATACAGGAAAGAGGCGTCTGGGATTAGTGCATAGACAGAGTACGTGACCTAGGAAGTCAGATTCAGATACTGGGAGGAGGCATCTGGGGTCAGTGCTACACAAAGGGACCCAGGAAGTCAGGAAGGTCACAAGATGGAGGCGTCTGGGGTTGACGTTGCATATAGGGAGGGGACTAAGCAAAGGGAACTCAGTCCTCTGCCATCCCACTCCCACATGGCACCACCCCTTGCCTCAGGAGCACAAGCTCCAGCTACTTCCTTGCACCCAGCTTATCTCACATAGCACTGCCCACTGCCTCAGGGCTTCTCCGTACCCAGCCCATCCCAGTTCACCACGACTCCGCCTACCACAGCCCCTGCCTCGACTTCCAAAATACCCAGATCTTACCCTAATCTTGCCACAGCGCCCACCTGGTAGTTGCCAACATAGACAGTCCCTCACAAATACTGAGCATAATAACTATGTCTTGGGCAAGTGAGTAATACATTTAGCTTGTTAAGGATCTGACTCAACGAGTGGAGGGGAGGGGAGGATGAGCAAAGGAGCAAAAGAAAAATCCTATTCAGAATGGGAATGTATTAAATGATTTTGTAACAGATTGAAGTCTTGAATTACATTTTACTTGCTTAAGCAAATGTTCATACTAGTTTAATTTTCCAAATGATGTATGTTACCTGAGCAGAGAAGAGGAGAACTCACCATGAAGTATGTGCTAGGTAGTAGGAAAAAAAGAGTCATCCCAGATTTAAAATTGCATGTTACCCATATATAGATAATCAAGGGTAGACTGACTGCAATAACAAAAGCGTATTCATTCATTCAGTGTATGTATACTGAGCACCTACTTTGTGTGAGAAATTGTAAGAAATATAAAGAAGGATGAGACCATCTCTGCACTTCTGAAAAGTATAAGCTAGGGGCAGCTGGATGGTGCAATGGATAGAGCACTGGTACTGGAATCAAGAGGACCTGAGTTCTAATCTGGCCTCAGACTACTAGCTGTGTGACCCTGGGCAAGTCACTTAACCCCAAATGCCTCCAAAAAAAAGGAAAGAAAGAAGGGAAAGTATAGGTTAGTCAGAGGTATAAGACATGTACAAAAGTGGATACCATAGGAATAAGAATTTGTCCTATAGTTTCATTGATATAGGAAACTACTAGATTAAAATAACTACCTCTACCAATGTTGAATGGCACCTTCTTTACAACTTACAGTCTTACAGTTTTCTGCCTAGATCACCAAAAGATGAAGCCAATTTGTGGCTGAGACAGGACTTGAACCCAGGTCTTCCTGGCTTATAAGTTAGAGCACCTCCAGTGGTCTATACCATGTTGCCTTTCTACACTATAACTAGGATACTAGATATAATACGAAAATATAATAAAAGTGAGTCGAATGAGTTCAGAGAATAGAGAGAACACAAAATCAGAGAAAACTAGAGAAGACAACATTTAAACTGGACTCTGAAGGATACATTGGAAATGGGTAAATATCAAAGGAGGGGAAGGAAAACAATAGGAATTCTAGGCGTAGGCACCAGCTCCCTAAGCAGAGATAGGAAAATATGGCAAATGTTTGAGAAATAATAGTAGTAGCCCAAATAAGGTCAATGGCTATTATCCCTAGTAATCCAACCACATCAGGACATTTCCTTAGCTCCTTCCCACTTATTCAGAGAGATATCAACAAACAAATTTCCCTACCTAGAGGTCCTCACTCTCTGAGGAATACAAAGATAAGACATATTTCCCTTGTGCCAATCCCACACCATATTGCCTTTTTGGCTGCCATATCTATATAATACCTTGCCACATGCAAACTTTACCGACAATCTTTTAAGTGGTCAGTGGGCAAAGTCTTCATCTTGTGTTCAAAAAGTAAGCTTCATCAGTTCATGATAAGAGAGGCATGGCAAGGCAGCAGTTAGTCTGCAAAGGATCTAGGGGCATTAGTGAATCAAAAGCTCAACCTAAGTCAAAAGTTAGATATGTCAACCAAAAAAAGCTAATAAAATTTTAGACTGCATTAAAAGAGGAAGAGTGTCCAAGAATCATTGAGGAGGTGATAGCCTAGTCATCTGCACTGACCTAGTCAGACCACATCTGGAGAATTGTGTACAAGTCTAGCTACCACATTTTTAGGGAGGACACTGATAAACCAGAGAATGTCCAAAAGAAAGCAAGCAGAATATGGGCTCTGAGTCCATACCAAATGAGGATCATTTGAAGGAAAAGGGCTATTTAGCATGGAAAAGAGAAGATGAGGGAAATAACATAGCTCATTTCAAGTATTTAAAAAATTGTCATATAATGAGTGATTAGATTTGTTCTAATGCAACACATTAGCAGGGGGAGGGGAATAAACTAAGAGAAATGGATAAGGGTTATAGGAGCTTATTAGGTTTTACATCAGGAAAAGTTTGCTCCCAATGAAAGCCATGCCAGATGCCTTGGGATATTACAGGGCTCTCCCGTACTAGCTGCAGAAGAGTGGTTAATCCCCATTGGCACAGGGGCTTTCCTCACTGGTAGGAGTTCTCTACTCCAATGACATTACAATTCCAGATTTTAGAAAAAAAATAGTAGTAACTACCTAGAAGAGAATTATCCACCCCTCTGTTCTACCACAACTTGCCTGGATGGATAATCAGCAATGGCTTCCTGATTATCTAGACTTACTTTCCTACTATATCCAGACTGGAAGTTTGGGGTATGGTACTCATATTACTGATTTATTATCTTACTGTGTTTATGAGTGGCTATAAACCCATAGGATGCCTTGATCATGGGGTAGTCTTGACTGAAGGGTTCACTCTGTGAGTTGATGGGGGAGGATGCCCCAGGTGTCACATCTGTTTCAATGCCTTGTTCTCTCAAATCAACAATGAACAGTTTAGCTCAATATAAAGGAAAACTTCCTAACAATTAACATTGCCAAAAGCTATCATTTGGGTTGCTCTCAGCACCAGTTAGTAAGCTGAGTTACCCTCTGCTGAACCTTCCCTAGCTCAGTAACGTGATTAAGTGTTGGGTTGCAAAGGTCTTCCCACACGTGCAAAATCTGAGAAGTTCAATATTGGTTCTAGTGGAGAAATGGTGAAACTAGCCTTCTTCCTCTCAACAGAATCGTGGGAGTATGGATACTGACTGCTGCACATACAATCAAATGTACTGGCTCAGCTAGTTGGTTTTACTTGCTTCTTTGCAAAAAGTAGGAGTCTATAGGAGGTGTGGGGACCAGAAAATTGCTAGAGTACAAAAAAATAGAAAACATAAAATATTTTAAAAACAGAAATAAGCAAAAAGTATGAGTAATAAAATATACATTGACAACCCACCAAGTAATTAAATTATATTAAAGTAGGTATTTATAGTCAATAGATTTGAAAACTAGATTTTTCTCTAAATAAGCTACAATAGACATGATCTACCTACGCTAATATAATTGACCAACTTTCTTTTAGGCTCTACATACACATAAATCCAAAAGGTAGCCAGGGCATAGTAGAGAGAGAGCTGGTCTGAGAGTCAATAAGACCTGGGTTCAATTCCTGCCTCAGATGCCTGCTAGCTGTGTGACCAGGGCCAATTCACTTAGCCTCTCAGTGCCCTCAGGCACCTCCCCAAGATTATAAATTGTAAGACAGGTGCCAATCCTCATTGGCAGGGGGTGTATACTCACTAGTAGAAGTTTCCTATTCCAATGAAATTATAGGTCCAGACCAAAAAAACGTGCCAACTACTTACTATAGAGATAATTACCTCTCTAGATGCTCAGTAGATGCTTTTTGATTGTCTAGACATAGCTTTGCCTCCTACTACATCTGGATAGGCAGATTGGAGTCTGCCTATTACTGACATATTACTGACTCATCATCCTACTATGGTTTTAAGTGAATTTGGAATCATAGCACACCTTGAACCTGGGAATAGTCTTGCCTAAGGGATCCACTCTGAATCTGTTCTCTCAAAAAAATTAATAAATTTGATAAAATTTGAAAATTTAAAAATAAAAAATTTTTAATTTGATAAAAACAAATTTAGCTCAGTGTAAGGAAAAACTTCCTAACAATTAACACACCAGCGACTATCCTTACAGGTTTTTCTCAGGACCAGCATAAACTGAGTTACATTTTCCTGAACCTTCCCTGGCTCAAGGACATGATTAAGTTTAGATTACAAAGAGTTTCTTCCAACTATCCAGCCTCACTTTCCCCCAGGCTAGGACCCTCAAATTAACCCCTTTCCTTGTTCTACCACAAGCTGAATTTCCCCTCACTTCTGCCAAACCTCTTCAAATTCAGTGACTTGAAAGTCATTTTAGATGCCACTCCAAAAACTATGCCATACTGTGGGAAACAGAAGCCAGGCTGCATGCTGTTAACTCAATTATTCCTCCTCTTCAGACTGGTACTTTCAAACAGAGTTGGAAATTCTCCTCTTTGTTATTTTTCCTCTTCTTGCAACTTTTCTGAATTTGTAAAAGAGCATAGGTCATTCTCAAAGTGCCTTGAGAAGGTGCTGGCAAGGCACAGTCCTAGGAGAAGGTAGGAAAAAATGATTCTAAAATTCTAAATTCTAAAAATGATTCTGATTCTAAACCTATCCTGTAGGCTCTCCTGTGGCCTTTCCTTCTCATAATGATGTCTGCCAAGACGCCAACATTTTCAGAGATCAAATAACAAGATATACAATTTCCCATCATGAGAGGAAGAAATGAACAAAGCTGATTACAGAATCTCAGAATATCAGAGTAGAAAGCCCTTTGACGCCAAGTCAGTAAGCATTTATTAAGCACCAGCTATGTACTAGGGACTATGCTGAGTGCTTAGGATTCCAAGAAAGGCAGAAAAAGATCATTGCTCTTAAGAAGCTTCCATTCTAATGGGGGAAACAACATTAAAATATCTATGTACATATAAGACACAGGATAAATTGTGAGTCATCTCAGAGGGAAGGCACTAGCATTAAGGAGATATGGGAAAGGTTTTTTTGCAGAAAGTTGAACTTTAGCTGAGACTTGAAGGAAGCCAGAGAAGGCAGGAGGTAGTGATGATGAGGGAAAGCAGTCTAGACATGGGGAGGGGGTGGGGGTAGAGCCAGTGAAAAGGCACAGAGTCAAGAGGAGTGCCTTTTCCAAGGAATACCAAGAAGGTTGTGTCCCTGGATAATAGAGTACATGGGGTGGAGAAAGGAATAAGAAAACTAGAGAAGTAGGAGGGAGCCAAATTATATCTGATCTTGGAGGTGATAGGGAACCCCTGAAGTTTATTGACCTGAATGTGGGGGAAGGAGGTGACACGGTCAGACCTGCACTTGAAGAAGATCAGTTTGACAGCTGAATGGAAGATGGGCTGGGGTGGAGAGAGATTTAAGGCAGGCAGAGCCACCAGCAGCACCATACTGCAATCATCCAGGCATGAGATGATGAGGGCCTACATCAGAGGAATAGCAGTATTGGAGAAGAGTAGGGGTCAGAAATGAAAGATGCTACAAATTAGAATCTACAGGAGCTGGCAACAGATCGGACACATGAATTCCATGTCTACTTTATTCAGACATCTCTTATTGGTTCCCATCATCTTCCACATTTAATAGTTTTATATAGGCACATATTATCCCCTATACTAGATTATAGATATCTTGAGATCGATGACCATTTCTTTTTTTTCTTTCTTTTTTTTTTTTTTTGCAAGGCAATAAGGGTTAAGTAAGTTGCCCAAGGTCGCACAGCTAGTGAGTATCATGTGTCTGAGACCAGATTTGAACGCAGGTACTCCTGACTTCAGAACTGGTGCTCTATCCCACTGTGCTACCTAGCTGCCCCTTGATGACCATTTCTGTCCATATTCCATCCCTCAGAGCAACTAATGGAGTGCCTTCCATCAGTCAATCGGCAATCATTTATCACGTCAGTCATTGTGCCTGGTGCTGGGATAGGAAAACAAACAAACCAAACACACCTCAAAGAGCTTAAATTCTTAGGGGGCAAGGGGGTACAGAACAAGCTTTTGTTATTATTAGTTTGGCTACTTACTATGTGCCAGACACCATACTAAAAGTGTTTTACAAATATTTATTTCATTCGATCCTCACAACAGCCTTGGGAGGTAGGTTTTATTATTATTCTCCATTTTACAGTTTAAGAAAGTAGGACAGAAAAGTTTCAAGAGAAGGAAAAATAACAAGAGAATTTCCAATTCTGTTGTGGTCTTCACAACAATCTTGGGAGGTAGGTTCCATTATTATCTCACTTTTATAGATGAGGAAACTAAGGCACATATGGGTTAAAGTGTCTTGCCCAGGATCACACAGCTAGTAAATCTCTGAGGTCAGACTGGAACTCAGTCATTTCAGTTGTGTTTGACTTTTCATGACCCCGTTTAGGGTTTTCTTGGAGGAAACACTGGAGTGGTTTGCCATTTCCTTCTGCAATTCATTTTACAGATGAGGCAACTGAGGCTAACAGGGTTAAGTAACTTGCCCAGGGCCATACAGCTAGGAAGTGTCTGAGGCCAGATTTGAACTCAGGAAGATAAGTCTTCCTGACTCCAGGCCCAATACTCTATACACTGTGCCACCCAGCTTCTCTTCTAACTTAGTTTTAACGAATTCCTGTCACTGGGTCTTTGAATGTACTTGTTCTTAGTTAGTTAGCATTTAAATAGCACTTTAAAATTTGCAAAGCACTTTACAAATATTATCTCATTTGCTCCTTTCACAACAACTCCATGAAACACATGCTATTATTATCACCATTTTACAGATGAGGAAACTGAGGCAGTTCTACAGTCAAGTTGGAACTCAGGTCTTCCCGATTCCAGGCCCAGAGCTCTATCTACTTTGCCACTTAAATTCTCAAATAGGGAAGGATTATAGGAGTATCCATATAAAGCTGAAAGGAACCTCAGTGGCCTTTTAACCCAATCCCTTCACTTTGGAGATAAGGGAACTGAGGTTCAAAGAGGTTAAGTCACCTGACCAAGGTCATACATGTAGCAAGCATCAGAGGCAGAATTTGAATACAAATCTTCTCACTCCAAAGCCAGTAGGCTTTCCATTGTACCATTTTGTTCAGTGATTTTTCAACTGTATCTGATTGTTCATGACCCCTTTGGGGGTTTCTAGGCAAAGATACTGGAGTGGTTTGCCATTTCCTTCCCTAGCTCATTTTACAGATGAGGAAACTGAGGCAAACAGGGTTAAGCGACTTGCCCAGGGTCATACAGCCAGTATGTTTCTGAGACTAGATCTGAACTCAGGAAGATGAGTCTTCCTGATTCCAGGCCTGGCACTCTATCCATTGTGTCAACATAGTTTCCTACTATACCATCCTGCCCCTCAAACAGTTCTGACTGAACCATAATGAATGTCAACATAGAGAAATCATGCATGAGAGATCCAAGGAGGCCAAAGATGTAATATGTGTTCCTTAAAGAAGAGAAGGGAAACGGAAGCTCAATAGTTAAATCAAATACCTGAAATGTGTAGGAGAGGACATTTGCATTCAGCCGGTAGTATTCTTTCTGATCACCACTGAACACCTTTCTACACTGACCACCAAAACTTTTTGTGTTGAAAACTGTGTCCTTAATCTGGCCGGTTAGCACATTAAACCTGTAATGAGAAACGAGACTCTTTTAAACCAAAATGGCAATTGCTGGAAAAGCACGAGTTAGAGAAGTCTTTAAACTCTAAAATTCATTACAGCTAAGCATCTGTTCAATCGAGCTCAGATAGAGAGGACAGACCACTAAAGCAAACTGTCTCTGAAGCATTTTCCACATGTCTCTGCTCTGTGTAGTCACTAATGCTAATGTATGGAAAATAAAACAGATTAAGGGCATATTTGCTACACCAGCTGCAGCACAGTGGTTTCCATGGCAACGGTTTATGTCTACAGCTATATCTATAGCTAAAATTAGCCCAGTTAAAAGACTAACCAATAAGTCACTCTCCATTGTATCAGAGCTAAGGTGGCTGTTGAGGAGGGACAGTTCCCTAAAACCAATGGAAACTAATTACATTTTGACAATTTGACTCCCAAAATGAGTCCATCCTAGGCCTTCATGTATACTATGTTTAAAAAAAAAACTCATTGTGAGTCATTGATAACTATCATTTTCATATGGATCATTTCAAAGTTTTCAGCGCTTATTATAAGTATAGGAAGCTGTAAGTGGTCTTCTGAATTTCCATGGAATAGGAAAGCTTGAAGCTACATTAGAAGGTTGACTTTGGGCAAAACACCTCACTTTCTGGACCACAGCTTCCCCATCTAAAAAATGAAAGAGTTAAATTAGACGAACTTGAAGGCGTTCAGTGCAGCTTTTTCCAACTTTTCTTTGAAAATTAAAATATCCTTAGGAAAAAAAGACTACCTTGACTGAAGATACCTTAAGGAAGCATTTTCCAACCACTGAGGCACCATACATTGGTTTCTTCACTTGCAGCTTTTGTGCTCTCTCTCCCTCTCTCTTTCTGTGTATGTATTTGTGTCTGTCTGTCTGTCTGTTTTGTCTTCTTTGATTCTCCAATCTGTTGTCCCATTTTCATCAATGGGTGTTCATTTTCTCTTAATCTTCTCTTGGTTATGTTCTTCCCACCATATATACACATCAACAAGGACAAAGGAAAAAGTTTGACACATCTTTCCTTTAAGTGGTAACCAAATGTCTATGAGCAAATGGATAAGACTAGAAAAGAGAACAGTATTTGCTTAGATTCATGGAACTGATACAAGAATGGAGCCACTGATGCTAATCAATGGACATAAGGTAGGGCCCTGCATCTTACCCTGCTCCAGTACATTCTATGTGAGGAGGAGGTCTATCAATGTCACACAAAGGTTTGCCTTCAGGGAGCTCACATTGATCTTCATCACTGCCATCTTCACAGTCTCGGTCTCTATTACAAACCAATGATTTGCTAAGACACTGACCTAAATGCAGGGAACAAAGGGGATAGAAAACGAAAAATCAATTGCTCCATTTTCTAAATTATGTCAAATTTCCTTATGTGTGTACTTCACAGGCAGTATAATGTGAATATAATTCAAGGCCCTCCAGTGTCACAGTGAAGGCTGACAGTCTTTATTATCCCTGTTTTACAGGAGAGAAGCCAATGACACAGGAATTTCATTAGCCCTGGGCTACATGATACAACAGATGCAAGACCTGAGTTCAGAATTCCAGGCTCTTGATGTAGTTTTGTTTGTTTTCCTAGAGGCATGGCACAATACAAAGAAGGCTGGATTTGGAGTCAGAGGACCTGGGTTTGAATACCAGTTCTGACACTTATTGCCCACATGACTCTGAGCAAATCACATAGCCTTCTTCCTGGGCCTTATCTTCCTCTTCTGTAAAATGAGAGGGTTGGACTAAAAGGCTTCTTATCAACCTATGATCCTTCTACCTCTAAATCAACTGTCATCAAGTATCTGAAGTGCTGTCACCTGGGATAAAGGGGTTTAGATTTGTCCTGTTTGGTCACAGAGGTCATAACTAGGAGACAATGAATGGGTAGCAGCTAAGTGGTATGATGAATACAGCACTAGACTTGGAACCAAAAAGACTCATCTTCCTGAGTTCAAATTCAGCCTCAGACACTTCCTAGCTGTGTGACCCTTGGCAAGTCACTTGACCTGTCTGCCTCAGTTTCCTCATCTGTAAAATGAGCTGGAGAAGGAAATGGCAAACCACTCCAGTATCTTTGCCAAAAACAAATAAATAGGGTCATGAAAAGTCAAACACGCCTGAAACAACTGAATAATGAAGCTGCCAGAAGACCATTTTGAGTTTGATGTAAGGAACACACAGACTCATCCCTAACGTACAAAATTGCCCAGAAGTGAAATGGGCTTCTTCAAAAGATAATGGGTTTCCCTTCACTGGAAGTCTCCAAGAAAAGGCTGGAAGATCACCTATCTGTTATGAGAACCACAGGACTATATATTTAGACATGGAAGAGACCTTAGACATCATCTAATCCAATTCCCTCCCTTTTATGGATGAGGAAGCTGAGGCTCAGAGAGGCTAAGTGACTTGTCAATAGTCATACAACTAAGGTACAGACATAATAATTAGAACCCCAATATTCCTGATTCCAGGGCCAGAATTTTAGCCACTATACCATTCTATTTTTTATTTGTGTTAAAGAGCAGAGATTCTTAACCTGAGGTCTTTGCGTCTCCCAAAAGGCCTGTGGATAGATTTCAGGGGTTTTGTGAACTTAGATGAGAAAAAAAAAATTTATATATACATATATGCACATATATGTATACATATAATATGAAAATAAAGATAGATAGATGTGTGTATTAGTATATATCTTTATTTTTCCTAACCACTAACCAAAATTTAGCATTTCCTTCTAATATGAATGTAGTCAACAGAACATGATTCTGCAAAGGGGTCCATAGGCTTCACCAAACTGCAAAATAGCTCCATGACACAAAAAGTTTAGAATCCTCTCTTAAAGAGGGAATTATTTTCCAGTTATTGATTGTACTATGTGGCCTCTGATTAGCCTTCCAAATCTGATATATTGTGGTCCAGTGACAAAATGGCCTCAAAGGTCCCAACCAGCTCTAAATCTACGGTTCTATGAGCCAATGTTAGGAGACTGAGAGTGTTCTACAACCTCACTGCTCCTAGGTAAGCATGTCACTGATGAAATTGTTCTGATGCAATGATGAAAACTACAGGTGGCACCTCCAAAGGTCTCAGCCAGCACCGCTGTTTTCTCTCTGTTTGCCTCACTGTCAGTAGAATCAGAGGCTCCTCCATATCCAGAGGTTCTTCTGTATTTCTGCGCTGGGCCACCACTTCTTACAAGGTATATCACTTTGGATTTCAGGGCTCTCAAAAATGAGGGTGGATGAAATAAATCAATCAAAATTCTATTAGTGTTTGGCCTTCAAAAGGAAATGGTGGTATCCCATTCCAATATTAGGGACCTCTTAAATTTACCATTCACATTCAAAGACCGTAGCAAAAAAAGTTACCTGAGGAACACCTGAAAAGCTCTCCACAGCCATCTTCTGCTGGGCACCCCCTTGTAGGCACACATGCTTGTGTTTCAAAAGCAGCCCCAACACATGGCTGGCCACCATATTGCCCATAAACCGCTATGTGCCGCCTTCGAATCTGAAAGTAGAAGAACAGGATGCTTTTAAAGTATCTCCCAATATTCCTTTTTTTCTGGAGATTGAAACAAGTAAGAAATAAATACAGTTGGAGATAAAACTGGCCCAGCAATCAGTCAGTCAACAGGCATTTATCAAGTGCTTACTTTGTGCCAGGTGTTGTACTGGGCCCTGGTGATACAAAGAAGGCAAAAACAGACCCTACCCTCCAGGAGTTTACAGTCTAATGGGGGAGCAATATGTAAATAACTAGGTGCATACAAGATATGTACAAAGCAGATGGGTCAGCAAGGGGCTGTTGTCAATCTAAAAAAAGGAAACACTGAAAATAATAATCCTGTTGTCCGAGGTATATAGATCAAAGGGAGCTTTTGATCATTAACTACAGTGTCAGGAGTGAGAGCAGAATGCATCCAGCGAACCCTGTAGGATAAGCTGTGGAATGAGACAAAAAAGCATAAAGGAATACTGTTCTCAAGGTTTAAGACAATGGCCAAGAAAGCATGGCATCTTATAAAATGTGTGTTGATAAGGAGGATGAGTATACAGGCATAGATCCTAAGATTGTGGGTTTGGTTCCAGACCACTGCAACAAAACAAATATCACAATAAAGATAGTCACACATTTTTTTTGTTTCCCAGTGCATATGAAAGTTATGTTTATACTATACTGTAGTCTATTAAGTATGCAATAGTATTGTGTTTTAAAAATGTACATACCTTAATTTAAAAATACTTTATTGCTAAAAAAAAATGTCAACCATCATCCGAGCCTGTAGCAAGTCATAGTATTGTTGCTGGTGAATGGTCTTGCCTCAGTATTGATGGCTCCTGACTAACCAGGGTAGTGGTTGTTGAAGGTTGAGATATCTGTGGCAATTTCTTAAAATAAGACAGCAAAGAAGTTTGCCATATCAATTGACTCTTCCTTTCACTTAAACACTTAAAGGCCATCGTAGGGATATTAATTGGCCTAGTTTCAATATTGTTGTGTCTCAGGGAATAAGGAAGCCCAAGGAGAGGGAGACAGACTGGGAACACAAGTCAGTGAAGCAGTCAGAGCACACGCAACTTTTATTAAGTTCTCCCACTTATATGGGCACAGTTTGGGTACCCCAAAACAATTACAGTAATAATATCAAAGATCACTGATCACAGATCACCATAACAGATATAATAATAATGGAAAAGTTTGAAATATTGCAAGAATTACTAAAATGTGATGCAGAGACACAATGTGAGCAAATGCTGTTGCAAAAATGGCCCCAATAGTGAAGGTAGAAAGTATAACCCAAAGATAAAGTGAAAAACAAGATTAAAGCTACTTGGGACATTTTTTTTTAATTTTTAGGCCATTGGGGTTAAGTGACTTGCCCAGGGTCACACAGCTAGTAAGCGTGTCAAGTGTTTGGTCTGAGGCCAGATTTGAGCTCAGGTCCTCCTGACTTCAGGGCTGGTGTTCTAGCCACTGCGCCACCTAGCTGCCTCCAGAGACAAATTTTTAAAGACAAAAAATAAAACTGGTATGAATAGGAAATATGTTAGCAGCAAAATGCTAAAATATTATTAGGCTTTAAAATTAAAAGTAGGCCTATAAAGCCAAAGCAAAAACCCCTCATCTAAATCTCCATAATAATTGATAATAATTAAGTATGCAATAGTACTGTGTTTTAAAAATGTACATAATAATTGGGCAAAATAGTAGTTAAATCTTGTTGGCAGGATAGCAAGGATCTAATGTTCCAAAGAAAAAAGAAAAGTTTCTCATGCCCCTTTCTTCCCAATGGCCAAATAAACTGTAACCCTATCAAGTAGATGTTATTATTATCTCCATTTTACAGATGAACTGAGACTGAGAGAGTTTAAGCGACTTGCCCAGGGTCATACAGCTGGTAAGTGTCTAAGGCAGAATTTGATCTCAGGTCTTTCTAACTCTAAGTCTGGTGCTCTATCCAATGTGCCACCTAGCTGTCTCTAACAACAACTGAGGTAAGACACCCAGGAGATAGGACTATGTGACTAGGAAACATTTGGGGAAGGATCAAGAGAGGAGTGATCCCTCTAAACATTGCGAGGATCCGAAGACAGGAAGCATAATGTGACCGTGTAAATAATGTCCTATATTCGGATGCTAGGGATTCTTAAGTTATCTGTGAATGGCTGGCCCAACTCCCATGCAGTTTAGCTGGTACTTTGTAAGCTCAATGAAGCATTTTGACAAACTTGTAGGTTCACAAGGCTAGAACTGGGACTTCAGAGCCCATCTAACTGAACCCCCTCATTTTACAGAGAAATAAATGAATGCTGAGGAAGGTTAAGCGATTGGTCTGAGGCGATATATGTAGTAAGCATCAGTAAGACCTGAACCCAGGTTCTCTGACTCCAGAGTCAGTATTCTTTTCACTGTACCATGCTGCCTTCTTAAGGAAAGGGGAAGGGAATAAGAATAGTGTATGCCGGGCACTATGGTAAGCACCTTTACAAATATTACCACGTTGATCTCACAACAACTCTGTGAGGTAGGTGCTATTATATCCCCATTTTATAGCTGAGGAAACTGAGACAAAGAGAGGTCAAGTGACTTGCCCAGGGTCACACAGCCAGTAAGTGTCTAAGGCTAGATTTTAACTCAGGTCTTCCTAACTCTAGGCCCAGCACTCTATGCACTGTGCCACCTAGCTGCTTCCTTGGAAACCAGGCTGGTTCTAGGTTTCTTTACAAACTCAGAGGCCCAAAATGGTGGAAGGTAATAACAAATGCACAAATAAACATAATTTTAGTTTATATGTTTATTCTTCACAATCTGTGGAAATCCCAATAATTTCTAAATTTAATTCCACAGATATTTACTAACCACCTACTATATAAATTACACTATGCTATGAAGCAGTCCCTGCCCTCGGAGAGCCTACAGTCTCTTGCAGAGTTAACATCTACACAAATAATCAAGTAATTTGAGAAGAAGAGAACACCTACACTTGGGAAAACTAGGAAAGGCTTTGTGAAGTTAAGTGATAACTGATCTAAGCTGTAAAGGAAGCTAAAGCCCTCCTAACAAGTGGAGATGAGAAAGGAATATCCTTATGGCACGGTGCCAGGAATGCATCCGGCCTGCACAAAGGTATAGGGACTGTAGAAAAACACTGAGTTCATTCCTAACAGTGTCAATCCAAACCTTTTTTCTAGCCAGTAACTTTGGGGACAGGTCTTTCTACTTCCTCTAACTCTGTCCCCCATTGAAATAATTCAGTTTTCATTGTGCTACTTTTAATGGATTTTTTTAAATATTGGGTTTTCTCATAACCTTGTCTTCACAATATCTTAATTTCATGATATTTTTGCTAGTTTGATTTCTTCCTCTAATTCTTTTAGTGTGATTGGATAGACCCTACAATTTCATTGGTATAAAGAATTATTAGGGAAGGAGTATTTATCATCCATTTTATTATGTCTGAGAAAATTCTGGTTTCATTTCTAGTGTTTCTGATAGTGTTACATTTTTCTGGTTTTTTGTTGTCTTTTTGCTTCTATTTCTAGTCTATAATGTGTTCTCATTGTGTCAGAACTCTTATTTGTTTATTTCTTTGAGTAGTTTTTTTTCCTCTTAAAGCCATACTGTTTTTAGGGTTTCTGTTAGTTGTGCTTTTTGGCATTACTATTGCTATTTTTGAGGGGATTATTGAAGATCATGGCTTCCTCGGAATCCCTCTATCCATCTTCCTAGGAGACCATTCCATTCTTCTTCAAGTAACAAGTAGCTTCCTAGTAACAAGAGTTCACAAGTGAATGAATTTATACTTTACCAACCCTTGTAGTGGGCATCAGATAGTATCTCAAATCTTAATACCTGTGGGTAGGTAACATATACATGACTGGCAAAGAAATACCATAGTTGGTGATATGAAAGGATTAATTTTTCCTTTTTTGAGATTTTTAAGTGTAATGTCTACCTCCCCACATGGGCAGTGGTTCAACTTATTTCTTGTCTCACCTTCTCACTCCTTTATCACTAGTTCTCCTTTGTTTCTTTCTCAGGAATCTCCTTTCCTCACTGAAATTCATTCTAGCCTCTTCCCTTCATTTTTACTTTTTTTAGCTCTGTATTCTTTATTCCAAAAGTTCAACTCTACATTCTCCTCTTCAGTGGAGCCTTCCTCTGAGCCTGGAGTGAGGAAGACCTGAGTTCAAATGCAGCAGCAGACACTTACTAATTATGTGATCTCACACAAATTACTTAACCTCGATCTTTCTCAGTTTCCTCAACTGTAAAAAGAGGATAATAATAGCATGTCTTTCCAGGGTTGTTGTGAGGATCAAATGATATAAAATTTGTAAAGCACAGTGCCTAAAAAATGTTTGTTTCCTTCCTTCCCACAAGTCCCTTGACCATTTTCCTATTGTCAACCTTGCCCTGCCAAACCTCAGCCTTCAATTATTCCCACCATCCCCTTCTTTTACCTCTATTCATGTGCTGCTAAACAAAGCTGGAGAAAATCATGAAACTGATTGGGTCTGGTACAAATTTATGTTACATAATCCCAATTGGGTCTTCACTGGCTCAAGGAAATCCTTGTGTACCTCCCTAACAGATTCACTATCCCACTCACCACAGTGGTTTTTACAAACCTTTTCATCCCTCTTCATACCACTTCTCCCCACCTGGGGAATCAAGCTGAAAAATTTGCCTCAAATTCCATTGAAAAAAATGAGGCCATTCACAGACCTCCTCCTCACCTCACATCACTAAGATGCCATCTTCCTCCTTCATTTCTGTCTCACATGAAAAAGTATCCCTTCTCCTTGTCTGGAAATCCCATTCCATACCATCTTCTCCAGCTGTTTGCCACCTCTATCATCCACATTCTCTCATTCATCTTCAACATCTCCCCATCTACTGGCTGCTTCATTCTTGCTACAATTATGCCCATGTCTCCCCTTTCCTCTCATTCATTTCCATCCATGCCTACTAGCTATTTTCTTATGTCTCTTCTCCTTTTGTGGCTTTCATTTCTACCCATGCCTACTAGCTATTTTCTTATGTCTCTTCTCCTTTTGTGGCTTAGCTCCTTGAGAAGGTCTTCCATAATACGTGTCTTCACTTCCTTTCCTCTCTTTCTAATCTTAACTTTTTGAAGTCTGGCTTCTAACTTCATCATTTAACTGAAGCTGTTCTCTCCAGAATTACCAATGATCTCTTAATTGCCAAATTTAATGGTCTTTCTTCAATCCTTCTTGACCTCTCTGCAGTCACTGACATTGTCAATCACACTCTTCTCCTTTATAGTCTCTTGTCTCTAAGTTTTCATAATTCCACTCTCTCTTGTTCTCCTTCTCCATGTTGGACCACTACTTCTCAATTTCCTTTATTAAATCTTCATCCAGGCCATTCACCCTATGAGTGTCCAACAAGGCTCTATCCTGGGCCCCCTTCTCTTCTTCTTCTATATTATTTCACTTCTCATCAATTACCATGGATTCAATTATCATCTCTATGTTGATGTTTCTCAGATCTACTTATCCAGCCCTAACCTCTCTCCTGACCTCCAGTCTTACGTTTTCAACTGCCTGTTGAACATCTGGAAGTGATTGTCCCATAGACATCTTAAACACAACATGTCTAATACTAAACTCATAAACTTTCCCCCAAGCCCTCCCCTTTTCTCTAACTTTTCCATTACTGTAGAGGGTAACACCATCTTCCCAATCACTCAGGCACAAAATCTCAGTATCATCATCTTTGAGTCCTCGATGGCACTCGTCTTACACATCCAATGTGTTGCCAAGTCTTCTAATTTCTACTTTCACAACATCTCTTTCTCTTTGTTCACATGACCATCACCCTGGGCAGGCCCTTATCACCTCATGCCTGGACTATTGCAATAACTTGATGGTTGATCTCTCTGCCTATAGTCTCTAACCACTACAATCCACTCCACTAACCTGCCAAAGTGATCTTCCTAAAGAACAAGTATGGCTATGTCACCCTCCCTAACCCCTTATTCAAAAAACTCCAGTAGCATCCCATTACTTCCAGTATCAACTATAAAATTCTGTTTTTTATTCAAGGCCCTTTATAACCTGGCCCCTTCCTACCTTTCTAGTCTTCTTATACCACATTCCTCCACCCTCCAATCTCACACAATATATACTGCAATTCAGAGACACTAGCTTCCTTGTTGTTGCTCACACAAGACACCACATCTCCCAGCTCCATGTATCTCACTGGCTGTCTTCCCCCTACAACATATTTGGAACTCTCCCTCCTCAACTCCATGTCCTCCTGGCTTTTTAAGTCTCAGTTAAAGTCTCGCTTTCTATGAGAAGCCTTTCCCATCCCCCTCAATGCTAGTGCCTTTCCTCTGTTGATTATCTTCAATTTATCCTGGCTATATTTTGTTTGTACATAGCTGTTTGTATGTTTTCTCCCCATTGGACTGTGAGATCCTTATAGGTCAGAGTTCCTGCCTTTTTCCCCCATTGATGAGTACAGTCCCTGACATATAATAAATGTTTAATAAATACTTGTTGACTGAATGTCAAAAGAAATCATTTTTGACATCCAATAAGCCCTCTAGGTCCTGATTTTAGTTTCCTCTTCAATCTTTTTTGTGACTATAAATATTTAAATGTGTTTTTTATTTTATTGTCAGTGTCCCATGTGTCTCAGTATTTCATTTGCCTGTCTTCAGTCAAAGAATCATTGAATTTTAAAGTTAGGAGAGACCTCACTGGTCATCCAATCCAACTCTCTCCTGTCTGTGTCTTCTATGCTTCTAGAAGTCAGACTCTCAAGCCATTTTTCTTGCTCTTTGTACAACACAATCACATAGGTGTTGAGTAAATAAATGATGATTGTGATTATCATGATAGTGATTATAAGCATAATGTTAATGGTAGTGTCTTTAAAAACAAAACAAAAAAATTTAACAGCCTTGAAAAGCATTCTTAAATCTCAAGGTGGACTCCAGTATTGACATCCTGACAACATTCTTAAGCCAGACTTCTTTTCACTATGGGAATTTATATGATGATATAACACATTTCTCAATATTATTTCTAGCCACTGACCCAAGAGCTGATTAAAAAGTCTGGAATTAATTCCCAGAGCTCCCCTTTCTCATCTACATGTATATTAAATTCCTTTTCCAGTTCAATGAGAGCAAGGAAACAGGGAAGATAGTTGGTACAATCAATTCTAAATTACTTAGGCATTGATTATCCAGTTTGTGAAATACTCATGCCCTTTGCTTCACTGATGGCCTTTTGGTTATTTCACCATTGACAAAAAGACAGCATCTCTCCATTAGAAAGTAAAATAGAAAGAAAAAATATGAGAAGTAATATGAGAAGTTCAAATTGGCCAATCATTAATTTAAATTTTTCATGATCTCTCTACTCCTTAATATTACCAATAATTGTAAAGGGGTTTCCATGATCCCCCTTTGCATATTGGCCCCCTCTAAGCTCCATCTTAAGAAGTCCTTACAATAGATATGTAAAAGGAACACACCCCAGTTTCTCTGAATTAGTTATCACAATGATTAGTTGGTTCTCCTCTGCCTTCAAAATTAACATCTGCTTTTGTTCATGAAAAAAAAAGCCATTATTCTCAGGAAAGTAAAAGGATTAAAAGTGGATACTGCTTGACATAATTTTCACAAGTGACATTCTGCACATGCATAAATAAAAACATGATGAAGTCCTACCTGAGTCTTTGTGCAGCCATCACATTCTGACCAGGACTCATAGGGATGCCAAAGGCAATTAACCGCTTGGAAAGGACTGCCACATATGCAACCATTGATTACAAAATTAATGGAAAGGAAAAAATTGTCAAAAACCTGAACATTCTTAATTAACATAGAACCTAGGCATAGATACTCAGAGCTAAATGGAAACTTTGAGGTCTTCTGGTCCAACCCCTTTCTACATATGAGAAAACTGACACATAAAGTGAATGAATGACTTCACCAATATCACAGAGCTAATTGGGGCAGAGCTAGGACTTAACCCAAGAATCCTGATTCCTAGTTCAGATGTGTCCTGGTTCAGGGAATGTAAAACTTTCAGGAAAAAATAATGGCTAGATGGTCTGAGATACCTCTAGAATATGGAGAAGTTACAGGGACAAGAAGATCTAATAATTCCCTAAATTAACTAGACAAGGCTGGAGAATTGAGGGAAAGAGGAATGGTTGTAACAAGGAAAGGTTGTGATAAGAAAAGGAATGCTTTTTAAATATTCTACCTGTTCATAAAAAAATGTACAAAGACTAGAAAAGTTACCTATGACCATTCTTATAATTCATGGTTTTTACTTATGGACAGATTTTGAAATTACAGTAGCCAGATTAACACATTTACTAAGTATTTTTATCTTTATTAAAATATTTACCCCCTTATGTATGTATAGCATTCACTTATGAGGTTGAGATGCCACAAAGTCATCTGGTTTGAGATGCCCAAAAGGAAATTAGTGATTCAAGACTTGATCTTAGGAGAGAGACTAGTACTATATATGTGGGTGTATGTATGAATGTATATGTATATATGTGTACACATGGAAATAGATAGATAGACAGACAGACAGACAGATAGATCTGGTAATCATCTACATAGAGATGACCATTCAGTCCAGGTAAGCTGATGAAATCATTAAGTGAGAGAGTATAGAAGTAGAAGAAAAGGGAGCCCAGGATAGAAGCTTGGGGGACATGCAGGATTAGTGGGAATGATCTGGGTGAAGATCCAGCAAAAGATTAAGGAGCAGATAGGAGGAAGACCAGGAGAGAGTAATATCTTGAAAAGCTAGAAAGAAGAGAATATGCAGGGGGAGAAGGTGACCAATATTGTTAAATGCTCAAAGGATGAGGATTAGGAAAAGACCATGGGAGTTGGCAAAAGCACTTTCATGGGAATCTTCTTTGAGGTGTTGGTTTTTTTTTTCCCACTAATGCTCTGTAGATTGTAAATTCCCTGAGGACAAGTATGGCATTTATCTTTAGATCACCAGCTCCTGGCACAATGTTTTGAATATAATAGGTATTCAACATACCTAATTAATTTAACATTAACATTTAACATGAATTAAATTCAAGTGAAGTAATCCTAATCCCCTCTGTATATGATATAGATCCATCTATAACTTGACTGACCAGTCAGAACCATAGGCCAGGGCTGGGAACAGATAAATTATTATGATTGACTGCCCTGAGTTGAAAGTTTTGGCTTTTCTACACCCTCAAACAATGATTAGTTAGAGCTAAAGTGAGAATGAGAGAAAAGAAAAAGGGGTGATACTAAATAGAAAGGTGTTCCCCCATCCCTGAACAATCAACCAGATCCCCCGGTAAGAGGAATGGGGCTCTAGAATCTGGAAATTCAAGTAATTCCTTCTTTCCTCTTCACATGCACCTCTCAGGCCATCTAATACTCTTTTGTATCATTTCCCTTCATTCTTCGCTTCTTCAAGACTACCCTAGATCTTCCTTTTAAGTTATATGAAAGTATTGGAAAGGGGTCCTGTAACATGTGATTAATTTCAGGGTTCAGAGTCTTCACTTGTAGCAATGAAGTTAATTGGAATATACAAGCTGACTGCCTGTGTGATCTAGGGCATGTTCAGTTTTCTCATCTGTATACAACCTCAGATTTGGCCAAAGTCAAAAGAGGCAGAGAGGATTAGTGGAAGGAAGTGATCTTATGGATTCTCAGTTTTTGCCCTTGATCTTGACGTGGCAAGTAGGTTGATGGAAAGAAGAAGGAAGTCATATGGGAGATGCTGAAGAAGAGCCACCAGGGATAGCTATTACAAGATCTTCCTACCAGCCTGCTGCCCAGACCGGGGGAACTTGGGAGGAACTTGGAAATCTGTGTAGCTGAAGGTGCAGCAGACCAGTTTCTCCCGCTTGTGTCTCTCTGCCCCTTCCATGTATGGCCAAAGCTAGGGCTACATTAAAATGAGAAAGATGAACTGGATGATTACTTAAACCTGTGTTGTTATTTAATTAGAAAAAGAAGCCACTAAACTGTATATAAGAAATCCCTGTAAGCTATATATTAACTTAGAAAACTACGTATCAACATCATCTATGTTCTATTGTATTGTTATCTATTTTGTTTACTATTTGCCAATTACATTTTAATCTAGTTCTCCCACACACACTTGGGAGTGTTGCCCACTGCAAACTGCATGCTAGCGCTTGACATCTGTGACTTAGATCCCTTAAAGCTCTACAATTTAAACAGAGATATAGTGACTTGTCCTAGTTAACACAGGTAGTCGCAAGGAAAAAAGACAGGTTTGCTGGATAATGAGGAAAAGCCAACCTGAGACTTAAAATCTTCCATAGAGAAAAGTCACAAAGTTATCCAAAATTAAGCATATGCACATAAATAATTATATTAATTCCATCTTTTGAACAATAGCCTTTCAAGTCCTATAGGCAATATAGTCATAAGAGATCATTAGGGTGCTATTGCTACTTTAAAGAGACTAAAAGAAAGTGCCTCCCTAAGAGTTCTCATCAAGTAAATAATGGAACCAGGATCCATGACTTCCTGGACAATGTAAAATTAATTAGGTGGGGATGGGCCCTGGCAAGGGTCAATCTTGGAACTTATGTAATTCCTAGGAACCCTCAGTATATTTCTGTAATCAATACTTTTTCTTGTGGACCTAGTAAATTATATATATACATATATATGCATGTATATATACACACACATAAATATGGACATATACTATACATATATACACACACGCATATGCACACACAGACATGTATGTGTGTGTGTATATATGTGTTTATACATATATACACATATATGTATAAATATATGTATATGTGTAAATACATATATTGTATACAGATAGATAGATATATAGATATATATATACACACACATATATATTACCCTCTTTCCATATTCTCACCTGGAAAAAACTTGAAAACTTCCCATCAACACCACTAAAATGAACATTAACACCTGGAAAATAAAAACAGAAAGGAGTTTCATGTTAGTTCATATTTCATTAATTTGCTGTAACCAGCTGAAACTTCCCCAAAAGCTAAAACCTCCATTCCAAAACTATCATGGCAGAGCTCTGAAAAATATGCCAGCAAAGTCTAAGCTCTCTCAGGGCTCAGAACCTTCTCACTCTGGAATATGTCATGTTGGCCTTCTGATCCCACTCATGAGTTCCATTTTGGGGACAGATTCAGGGCAGCCGTTTTTCATTCCCCTCCCAACTGTGCTTCTGACTCTCAGGATTTCCTGGCCACATTCCAGCTGTAGCTTTTCTTCATCCCCATCTCAGCTTTTTAGCTCATTTTATGTGTCTCTTGGGGCCACCTAGGTGGCGCCATATTGCATAGAATGCCAGGTCTGAAGTCAGGAAAACTCATCTTCCCGAGTTTAAATCTGGCCTCAGACACTTACTAGCTGCATGACCCTGGGTAAGTCACTTAACTCTGTTTGCCTCAGTTTCCTTATCTGTAAAATGAGCTGGAGAAGGAAATGGAAAACCACTCTAGTATCTTTGCCAAGAAAACTCCAAATGGGGTCAGAGTCAGACAGGACTGAAACGATTGAACAACAACTACCAACAACATATGTTCTCTTACTTCCCTAAAGTGTAAACTCCTTGAGGGCAGACACTGGATTTCTTTCTGTTTGTATTGTATTTGTATTCCCACCACCTAGTACAGTACACAGTAAATAATTAATAAATTTTTGTTACTTGCTTATCTACCTCCGGCTGAAAAGACCCAAGGAGATGTTGTAAGACTACTAAGGACCAGCTTGATAACATCAGAGAAGCTCATCACCAGAGGGCTAGCCAGCACTTGAAGTATATACATATTTGTGTGTGTGTGTGTGTGTGTGTGTATATCTCACATATATATTATATACATGTTTATTATATATCACATAACAAAGATAGATAGATATTGGCCATAGTGATTCATAACACTTTCTATTGCAGGCATGGAAATAATCAAATTCTGCATTGACAAGGGAATACCTACAAGGAGGAAATCTTCGAAGTATTAAGTCTAACTAAGTATAAGTCTAAATGATTCATTTCAGTTTTCTAAATATTGTCTCCAATTTCAGTTCCTATCATGTTCCAGACTGGGATACATTGATTCACTCAACCAAACAATCAACCATTATCAGACTTACTAGGTGCCCCAAACTGCTAGGTACTAGAAATATTTTTAAAAAATGGTCTCTGTACTCAAGGAGCTTATAGTTTATAGAGAATTCTCTTCAGGGAGATATTTAAATTTATCTATTTAAATAAGTTGAGTTCTAAATCAATAATGGGTTTTTTTATTCCCAACTTAAACACCAAATAAAATTAGCATTTTATATGCACAGTACAACAGAAGAAGAGGATTCCCATAAAACTGTGGATCTTTATATAGCTTGCTTTTCTTTTAAATACATATTTATACAAATAAATTCAACATGAAACTTTTGAAGCTGTCCTACTATTCTGTGATTCTCTCTGGACTTTCTTCTATTCTCTTATATGCAAATTTCTAAAAAAGATGCCAATGACCCTCTTTTCCTTCTTTTTTCTTTTGTTATACGTTATTCCTATTCCCTTCTCTCTCCTGTATAACCCTCATAAGAAGAAGAAAAGAGAAAGAAAAAGTCCCTGTAATAAATATACATAGTCAAGCAAAACAAATTCCTACACTAGTCACGCTCATTCTGCATCATGTGTCCCTCACCACTTTGGCAGTAGGTAGGTTGCTTACTTCCTCATCAGTCCTCTGGAATCCTTGTAAGTCTCTGCCTTGACCAGAGTTCTTAAGTCTTTCAAAGCACTAATGATTTCTAAAGCACTCTTAGTGGTGGTCACCAGCCCATATTTCCTTCCTCTCTCTTTTCATAGATTCTCAGAGTTGGAAGTGACTCCAGAAGTCATCTCGCCTGACCTATAGCTGAACAGGTATGCCTTTCCTGTTCTTTCAGTTAAATAGTTTCCCTTTAGGGATGATTTCATTGGCACAAATCAAAGGTATGCATATCTTACCTTCATGTTTGGAAAAAAACATTCACAGCTTCTGCAGAGAAGGGATGAAACTTTCCTCCTGGGAGAGTCAAATTGGGGCTATTCAAGAACTGGGAAGAGACAGTCAGTCTGCCTCCTTCACTGTCTCTGCCTGGCTGTTGTTTTACTTAGCACTCACTCACATATAAAGTGAGTGATCCTGAGGACTTTAACTCTTAACCCATCTGGATTCTCCAGAGACACGAACAATCTGCCCTTGCACTGATCCCATGTCTTAAAGCCAGATACATCTCATCCTTTAAACAAGTCTTGGCTGTAGCCAGCTGGGGCTGCCTGGAACTGTTATTCTGAGAAATGGTATTTGTCGATCAGGAAGGGCAGCAAGAGTTTCCAGTTCCTTAAGTGCTTTCCAAGGGAGGAAATGTCATGTAAGCCAAGGGATGAGTCTCCTCTCCCTTCCATGGAGAAAAGCTGCTAAATGGCATATCTGTTGGGGGAAGGGTTTAAAGGGTCTTATAACACCAGAGTTTGGTATTAAACACTATAAGGGACAGGAAGTAGGATGAAGTTTCAAATATGGTTTTCTTTCTCTACAAAATACAAAGGAAATAAATCATTATGCAGAGGCTAGTCAAGTATCATGGCTGCCAGGCAACTTACAACATCTTTAGAAAAACAATTACAAGACCCCACAGATCATTAGCGCAAGATGTCTGGGAAAATTGTGTTGAACATGAAATTTTGTGCTAAGAGTCCATTCCTCTTCCCTTCCACTATTTATTTCCACTCAGTAATCCCCATTAATTTTGACCTCCTCTTCTAAGGATCCTTCAAAATTTCCCATCCATGCAGCTCATGCCATTTTTACATTCTTCCCACTGAAATTTATCTCTTAAAGTATGGAAAGATTTACACAATCTTATACATAGTGAAGGAAGCAGAGCCAAGAAAACAATGACTACAACAATGGCAAGAATGGAAAGAATGGAAAGAATGGACAATCTCAAAACAATTGCACGTGAATAGTGCAAAATTACAAAGAATAAGCATAGCTCCAAAAAAGAAACGTGAAGAGACACTCCATTCCCTTGAAGAGGTGCGAAGTGTGGAACATTGTATAATTTTCATATTTTTTCTGCATATTGATTAGTTTTGCTAATTTTTTCTTTTCTCCCTCTTTTTCTTATTTTTTTTAAAATATTATTTGTTATGTGAGATGGTTCTCTGAGGAAAAGGCAAGAGGAGGAGTACTAGGAGAAAAAAATATAAAAGATATTGATAAAAATGTATTTAGAAAAAAAAATAAATTTGCCTCTCAGTTTTCACATCCTTTCAGGTCCCTGTAGGATTAACCCACTGACCATATAAACTAAACAGTGCTGAGAAAAAGCTGGTAGACTTAACAGCCTCCTGGAGACAAAAGGCTCCACCTGGCTATCTAAACCATTACAGAGACGGATTATGAGAATTTTAAGTGAGAGGAAAATGAACCTTGTGAGGTAAATGTTTGAGAGTAAATCTACTTTAGAAACAGTTTTTTCTCCATCATACCCAAGTTTTCCAGTTCTTTTGGGCATACAAACCAGACTAGCTGAAGCAGCAAAGCACTAAAATCTCTGGAAACAGAGAAAGGAGGAGGAATGGGCCAGGAGAAACCACCAATATCTCTCTCAAACCCAACTGAAGATAGTTCAGGGCCCTAAGCCCAAGAGTCTTGGGCATAACAGTGTCCATACCACCACCACCCCCATACTACTTGCCCTACTTCCAGCCTAGGCTTACAATCAGGTTAGATTAACAAGTATCTATTAAGCATTTGGTATATGCCAGCCACTGTGCTAAGCCTTGGGAATAAAAACACAAGCTGAAAGAAAGACAAGATCTGCCCTCAAGGAATTTACATTCTAATAGGGGAAAACAACATCTAAAGGACATGGGTGTGGGGGGGTGGATATAGTAGAGAAAGACCAGAGAGTCAGGAGTAGAACTTGGAGAAAGAAGATGTGGATGGCTTGGGTATCCTCCTTAAAGTGGTTGTTTTAGGAAGAATCACCCAATAAGAAAAAAGGGCTACAGGAATAGCACATATTTGCAGATGTAGCACAGTCTTCATTGAGATGAGCACCACCCTCTGTGGTGAAGGAGCCCACCTTCCTCACCATCACTAACACCAAACTAGAACCGACTGTAACCAAAGAACAGGTAAGCCCAGGACTTCCCACAATGGCAGTGGCTTCTCCCCCAAGTCCCACTTCTAGTCTAACCACATAGTCATCATCTGGGTAAGTAATCCCTTTGGACATGTGACCCAGTAATTACTTCTGCTTGTCCTGCAGTCATACCACATTCTCACACCCCACACTGTACCTCCAGTATGCACAGCTACCAAAGACCCAAAGTTCTGGACGCCAAAGTCCATGGCACTGTCAAGTGATTCAAGATAAGAAACAAATTAGATTTTTTCAGTAGAAATAACATTAAAGAAGATACATTACTCTCTGCTTTGCCCCAAACAAAAAAGACCATGAGGCCTTTCCAGCTGACACGCTACTGATAACCCATATATATGCTGCCTAAATAGAGGTTAAACATCCCAAGGTAGAAATGGAATAGGTCAAATTTCCATGCCAGTCAGAAGTAGGATTGGGACCATGAGTGGCCACTGTACTTTGAGCCTACCTCAGTGAGATAGAGAAACCTAGTCTCAAAAAAAAAAAAGAATGAAAAAAAGAATGCTGTGTAATTATAATGTCCATGATTTGGGGCCAAGGAAGAGATAAGAAATGCACCTTCTTCCTTTCCTTTCAGAGATTAAAGAACTAAGAGTAGTTACTTGAGATTGGAACTCAGGAAAGAGAATAGAGCTCAGAAGAGAGACCAAGATTGAATGTACAGACTTTTGTCATCTGAATAAGAATGATATTTTATTTGAATTTTATTATTTTTAATTAATAAGCATTTATTCTCTTTCCCTCCCACCTCCTCTCCCCACCCCTGATATAGAAATATCTCTATGGATAGTCAAGCAAAACAAATTCCCACATTGATCATATCTTGAAACATGTGTCTTAGTTGGAATATTTTGTCTATTACCTTTCTGTCAGGAGTTGAGTAGTATTCCTTATCATCTGTCCTCTGGAATCATGGTTGGTCTTTATATTGTTCTTTCTTTTGCAATAACTCAATTTTATTTTATTTTTAGTTCTAAATTCTTTCCCTTTCTTTTCCTCCTCTACCATCCATTGAAAAGGCCAAAAAGAAAAAAAAATTCACTACAAATATGAATAGTCATGCAAAACAAATTCTCACATTAGCTATGTCAAGAAAGAAAGGAAGGAAGGAAGGAAGGAAGGAAGGAAGGAAGGAAGGAAGGAAG